GAATCCGTGCCTCTCTTCTAGTTCAGCACTGACGTCGTCCTGCTCGATTGATGTCAACAACAATCTGAGCTACATAATCCATCCGCGGAAAAGTATACTTTTTTGCAGCAATAAAGCTGTTGCGCTTGTCGATGTGTTCAAGGAACGCATCACAAATGTGCAGAGAGAGGCAGTTCTGGAATATTCGCATGAATAACGCGCCTCATAGCGTTGTCGTCGTCGTCGTGTGGATGTTGGCGCTCGCTCGCTCGAACGATGCTGGTGGTTGTGGGATGTTCGGTGCATGCAGATCAGGCCGATGATGACGAAGCTGCCGCTGTCGCCGCCCTGTAGCCGGGCGACGCTCAACCAGGAGATGCTGTAGTTCAGCTTTCCCAGAAGATGAATGCTACGCTCTGTAGACACGGCCGCACCAGCAAACCCTGTCTTGCCTCTGCCTGTCTGAGCGGCGGCGGCGGTGGCCGCACCATCATCGCTGTGGAAGAAACAGACCAAGCTAGAGAGGGAATCGCATTGCGTAATGCGGATGGATGGCCGCCGCCACAGTTGTCGTCATTTTGAGCACGAGGAAGATTCGGCCAGGAGCAATGGGATGAGAGTTACTACAGAAGTCTGCACGTCTGTCGGCCAGTCAGTCAGCCAGCCTGCCTGCCAGTCTTCGCTCGGTTCGAAAGCCGGCCAGGTTTCACGCGACGCAAAATGCAACGTCTTCGGCCCACGCAGGTAGCCGAAAAGCTGCGCGTATCGTGGCCGCTGCGGCTTGGGTATGACAATGAGGAGGGGAACGGGAACGCGACTGTGTATGGCTTTGGGTAGGAGTGGAGCTGGCTGGCCGAGCTGGATGCTGCTGGATTCCGCTGCTGCCGTCGCGTTTGTTGTCTGTAAGCACAAGGAGAAGAAAAAAAAACACGACGACGACGATCTGCGTGGGTGTCGATGGCGGAGTCGAGAGGTAGAACCACTTGTGAGAGACTATCGGGTAGACGTAGTAGCCGGCGCCGAAATCGCGGCAGCCGAAGCCGTGAGCATTGCCGTGCGATGGAAAACCGCACGGTCAACTCCCAAGCGGACGCGAGCTGCCTCTTAAACCTTGGCCAGCTGGCGTGGTTCTATTTGGAAGATCGCGGTCTCATTTTGGCTCCTTCGATCGGTTCCCAAGAAAGGAGCTCCGGCAAATGAAATCCGTTCGGAGGAGTGAGCACCAGACTCGAGGCGTTGTCACCCATACGGAGGGAAACGAATCAAGAGCCTCCGATACAAAGCGGTAATCGATCCATGACATCACGCGGAACTCGAGCGGAGCTTGACAGCCCACGTCATCCTCGGACAATGTTTCAGGAAGCGGGACCGATCGAGCCGCCCTGCTGTGAATTTGCAGAATGCAGAATCGGATAGTCGTTCTCATTTCCACCTCCACTGATTAGATTGAGAGGAATATTTTAATCGTCGAGGCGGCGATTACAAGCGCTTCGCGCTGAAGCTACGCTATCCTTTCCTATTTCCATCCGCTTCGTACCGAGCCTGTTACTTCGGAGCTCAGAAGAATCCCGGTGGTCTACCAGAATCTGATACGGATCGTCCGTCGGCTATCTCACTTGATGCCTCGGTCGACTTCGATTTCGTCGTGACACCAGTGTCACCAGTGTCATCCGACTTCGAAGCGTCATCTGACAGGGGACGACAGAAGTTCCTGCGCGTTCCGAAATATTTCCCGGGGCAATGAGGATCGACTACGCGGAGACGAAGTCCGTCTGCGAGGGGAAAATGTTCTCAAGAATCCTTTCCCGCTGATTCGCGCAGATTCTGGAAGAGGATGAAAGTTATACTGTGAGTCTTGATCGCTGGCAGCTGCAACGGTCACGCACACATTAAAAACATCTCTTGTTCAATGGTGCAATATAGAGACTTCGGCAAGAAAGGTGGGATGCCCGATATTCGGAAGGTGACTCCGAACCTCATGTAATGATAATTCATTTTCCTATCGATTCAGCATGATCATCGCCTCGACTGCTCAATGCAGAGCTCGTTCCTCTCATGGGAAGGCAGACGGGGTGATCATGAGATATTTTTCGATGATAACCGAGATGATCGGACAATGAAAATATCGGGCTAATCGTCTGGGTGTGATGCGTTGCGGAGGTTGACCGGCACCACTGGATTCGCACCGGTACAAAAATGAAAGGGAGAGTGCTCCCTCCAAGAAACTGCCGATATCCAGGCGTCTCGACCCCTCCTCGTCGAATTCTGTCAGCCCAGATACTCCGTCAGAGAACACCCGGGCTGGATTTGGAGGTGAATATTATTTATCTAAACGAGGCCCGGCGGAAGAAGAGCGAATTCTAGCAGATCCCACTCTCGGAGCAGCCTATTGCCTTTTCTCGAAATCGCTGGGTATGCCGTCGTACGGTATCTATGAGATCTCTTGATACACCCATACGATGTCGAGTCAACGAGACGGATCATCCATAGCTCGCTCCATTCGGGGATTTGAGCTTACAGATCACTCTCGGTTGACGCGATGCCGGTGATCGAGTGTCAAAGACTTGGTCGCCAGCCAGAATGCTGTGGACCTCTCTATCCAGAAACTTTGGACTCGCTGCTTGCGTCATCCGGAGAGCAGGCCGGTGGTATGACCGGAGAGGGCGCGAGTTCACTGCAAGTGAACTCTCCCTCCGCTGAGGTTCCCCATTCTTACAGTCGGCTTGAGAATGATACTGAGTGTTTGCATTGCTCGGCATTCCGACGGTAGATATCTCGTTCCCCGCCGCGGGAGAGCGGGGCAGAAGGAGGCGACGAGAGATGCCGTCCCTCAATCAATCCGGTGCGCTGAAAATGTCCCCTGCACCCGACCGCACCGAAACCTTATAGGAAATCGTCACATAGGTATGAAATCCTTTCTAGGAGGCTGTCGTGCGATTTCCAGGTCAAGTTTTTTCCAGCGTTAATATTGTAGCTACGATAGAAACCTTGCACCCGTGAACCGTGAATAATGAGTGACTCATATGGTTAGATCCTTCGATAATGCGATTAGAGACGTACACACACACAGACACACGACACAACGCGAACATTTCGAATCACTATTTTCCGGGTCAGAACGAGATCAAGCTCGTAGGCTCTTTCCGGGTCCCCTTCTCGAGAAGTGGGACTCTTTGATTTGACTTCTGCGCGGTGTTTTTTTCGCTTCGAGAATCTTCGCCCTCGACTTTCGAAGAGTCGATGAATGACGAGACGAACGACGGAGGGATGATGCATGTTAGGGTAAGTATCAAGCGAACATAGATAAGGATAAGGCCGCGGGTGGCGACAGTCAGTGCTCGAACCTTTGACCCCATCGACTTTGCCCTGGAAACCCATCGAGCGCGCGCTGTGCCCTCCTCTCACGAAGCGAGCGTGCTTCAAATGTGACAAAAAGGGCTTAACACTGTTAGTTATCTTTGTAATCTCTTATCCGAGCCCGAATCGAATTTTGTCTACGCGTCGCCTTCCGCACGGAAACTCAACCGATTCCGAGATCTATCGCGGAGCCGGCTCGGAGTTCATCCAGCTGAGATTCTCCCAAAATGACTGGCTCCCGGAGCTTCGGGGTCCTGATTTTCCGCGCTCTCCCGCGTCCTTATCTCTTTTCCCGTCGATACGATAAGGTCTCATATCTGATCAGATTCTGTGGAGGGACCCAGCGTAATCGTAGCGTATTCCAGGAAAGCCCGAAGTGAAGTCTGGAATGATGAAGTCGACTAGTCTGTGAGTGGTGAGTTTACGTCTCGAACTTTTCTCGGGCAGATTATGCCGCAATGCCGCGGCTCCGCGCCGTATTTCTGACCCTCTGCTGTCGACTGCAGAGGTTGGACGCTAGAACGCGGTAGAACACGGTCACAGAATCACAAACAGACGGACAGCAGTCGTTACCTCCTTGCAGTATTCGTTCTAGACGTGCTCGTCAGGTTAGTCGTGCGGTTTGTATCGTTCCGATGTTGATGACATCTATTCCTTTCCATGGCGACGATTACTTTGCCTCGAATTCCCCATAGGGCCGTCGGTGAGGCCGCGCAACATTCGTTCGAGTTTTGCAGAATTCTTTCCCTGCTTGGAGGGGTTGCAGACCTTCACGACTCGGTTTCACGCGGTACCGTCGAGCCAGGTGATCCGATTTTCCCCTTGAGAGCGTGTTTGACTTGACCCGTCCGATTGCGACTCTTCCTTGCCAGCTTTTATTCCTGATATCGAAATCGAGGTCAACATGGTCTCATATCAGTTCATGAAAACATAATTATGATGAGTCGAATGAGCTTGTATTCAAAGCTTCGATTAAAAGCGACGCTGCGGCGAGAAGGAGTGAGCGGGCGGAAGTAAGTTTGCCTGAATGAGTGTGTGCTCCGAGCTCGCTACTAACAATGTGAGTAGAGCATTAATGTGTTTGAAATGAAGTTCGAATAAATAAATTAACAATTTCTGTGAGCTTTTGTGCTCGATCGAAACGGTTGTGTTCTCCTTGGTGACAGTGACCTCTCGTAGGCAATTATGACCCACCGTGGCGCTCGATGGCTGCCTTAGTCGATTCTTTCTTCTGAAAGTTCAGGAATCAATCAGATCCTCGTCCGATTTGAGAAGGAAAGCTGCACTCAAGTCATGCATTGGCACACGCCGATGTCTATCGAAGGCTGAAAGGGTTCTTCTAGACGCTTCCCTACTCCCTACAATCTATGACTCAATCGATCGGGAATATTTCCCGCGTGCAGTGTAGGCTGATGTAGGCGATCGATAGAACCTAGATGGGACCTCATCTATCTTGGAAAGTGATTTCCGCGTGAATATCAGCGAGCTGATATAACCCTAGGTTTCATTACAGGTGCACACCGCTCCATTCCTACTCGAAAGAATACTCGACCGAGCAATTATACTGTGAGATCGCCCTCACGAGCCCTTCCTTCCCTCAATCGACCAATAGTTCTCGCGGATTCCCGACTGAGAGCGATGAATTTCTATCGCGTTTCTCTTATCGGATTGTTTAGGAGGGAATAAAATTCTTTCATGTGGCATACGTTATTGAGGCTTAGAGCGTTCTAAAATTCATTGATTAGCTCCTTTGCAGCAACAGCGTCGACCGTCGCCGTCGGCAATGAGTTTGAACGCTTCATTCAATGAAAGGGCTTACTTACGACTAATGCTACTCGCGCCGCCGCTATCAATATACTGAGTCGCTGAACGCTATGGCCGTTACCAAAAATTCAATGGAGACCGAGGAGGCTTCCTCAAAGGCTTTTACTCGAGCAGGTATGGAGCTGCGAAATCGTGCATCGTAATTAATGATACTCATCACTACCATCGATCTTGAGCTGCGGTTCATGTCGAGGAGGGAATGGGGCGAACATAGAAAAATTGCAGATTCACTGCTTCGAGAGCTGAACTAAGTTCTTGGCTGGTCAAAATGCACGTCATCAAACTGATCTGACGTACGAGGGCATTTTCAGACTCTGAGGCCCTTCTCCGATTGATCTTGCGTAACAGTGAGCTGACGGCAACCCCGCTCGCGGCCGCGGCGGCTGCTATAATGGCAAATCAAGCCGCTGCAGTGTCGGCTGCTGTCCACCACCACCAGCAAGTGCAGCAGCAGCAGCAGCAACAGCTGCACCAACAGCAGCAGCAGCAGCTTCACCATCATCATCATCCCGACCAGCCCATGGACCTCCACAAACCCTCGACTTCAATGGCCCTCCAATCCCTCAGTACGAAATTCCCTCTCCTTCCCCGGAGCCTTTCCCCGCAGAGATCCCAACGACAATACACGATGAGCATGTTCCCCGGAACTTCAACCTCACGCGTGACGACCTCAGGCTCGGAGCAAATTCAGGTTCACCGACAAGCTGACGGTAGTCTAGCCTACAGCTGTGACTTCTGCGGTTTCATGTCGAACAACCGTCACACAATTCTCAGACACAGACGAACTCATACGGGGGAACGACCCTACGCATGCACACTCTGTAGCTACAAAGCAATACAGATGTGGAATCTCGAGCAACACATCAAACGAAGACACCCTCAGGCCGCACCTCCGAGTAAAAAACGAGAACAGACCCCTACCCCGCCGCCCGCGCAGATGCCGGCGTTTTTCGGGCTGCCCCCGCCGCCGCAATAAATGGATCAGCCAGAATCGACCACATGCACGGACCGACACCGACACAGACTTGAGAGGGGGAGGGGGCGAAATATCTTCAAATCCTGGGAGTTGCATTTGAGCGAACAAACAGCAGAGATGAGAAATATGTGCTGCCGGGCGGTCTGTGGTCCAGTGATCAAATGAATCAGGGGAAGATTTTCTCGTCGGTGCTTGCTAACCGGAGTGTCGAAGTCCGCCAATATCCGTGACCCCTTCAAAGTGTCCCGCAATGGCTAGCTTTAATTCAATAGCTTTATTTTACTACAAAACGTCTACGGAGACATAATATATACAGTTTATCACGAGATACAGCCATCCAGATATACATACCTCTATGCTCGAATTCTGAAGCGAGCCGTCCGAAGCTTTAAGACACGAACTCACTGACGGACATCCCGAACTCTCGGTATGTCTCAAATATTGATATATATGAACTATAATTCTGTGTTTTGGGTTTCGTAATGTTAGGGAGACCCTTTCCTAATTCCCTGTTTTCTGACTTCTTTCGGCTCAACCAGAGCTCAAACTATACACTTTAGAATCTAGACTCAACCTTGCGCACGAGTATCGGAGCGTGAACGTGTACGTATAAGTGTACCTGATAAGAGTACTTGGAAGTTCCAGAGTTCGAGCTCGTCATATATCTCGAACCGCTGGCGCTCCGTGAAATAGCTTTATTGTGGTCGGGTCCCTTTACGATCTGAGACCCTAACTTTCACCAACAAGACTCGAAGACTCAAGATTTATGAAAAATCTTCCGAAGGTTTGGATTTCTCCCTATGTGAAATTCTCTGACCGTATATGATACTACAGATATCCATATATATTTTTGACATTTGACATACCGCTGTGAAACGATTCGATGAGGATCGCTAATCATTCGAGTGTTCCCTATAGTGAATGAATAAATTTAACCGCTTGTGTGTTCTTAACAAAAATACTTCCTCGTGTGCTCGTTTTGGAGTTTTTGAAATTAATTCCGAGGAACTTTGTGGAACCCAGATCGAGGCGTGGCGATACGGCACGGGTAAGATGCAAGCGCGGATTTCACGAACGATAAAAGCCTCGAAAGCGTCCCGCTTCGCCTCTTGTCGAATAATTATTCGGAGAACTCTATAGGTCGATCGAGGTGGCTCACAGAGTGAACGTAAGTTGATGATATCTTCCCTGTGAAAGGACAAACCTAATTCTCGCATTTTCTTCCAGAAAGGGAGAGAGAAAGAGAAAAAAAAAATCCGGACGAAAGCTGCCCCCTGTGCGCAGAGCCCATGCCACGTCGATCCTACCCAGCGTGCAGTGGTCCACCGGAACCGAGACATAACTCAAGTGTGGATTGAATTAACTGCATGACGGAGGAGCAAACACGCGGTTCCCTCTAACGTGTCACGTTTTTCTTCCTCTCTCTCTCCCTGATTCGTCTAGGTGGCAACGCAGGCGGTGATCTCTCGGTGAACTCGTGCGCGCCGTATCTTTACCGATGTCTTCAATGTCCTTATCAGACCAACTACAAACAACGTTTATTCGAGCATACGTCAACGCACCTCGGAATGAAGCCTTACTCGTGCTCTATTTGCGGTTATAAGTACTCGAAAATGTCCAACTTGAGACGACACGTTCGTGAAGTTCACGAGGGCATCAAGAGGCCGACGCCTCGAAAAGATGGCGTCCGCAACAGTCCAGCTCAGAGCTCCAAGCTGGTCGACAAGGCCGCTCAGATGGCCTACCCGAGCAATCTGCTAAGCCTTTTGACAGCCTCGTCTCTTCCCAAAGACAAATAACCTCATCAGTCAACCCACCTAAAACAATTCACAAACTATACAGACAGGCACACTTTGATAAATGCGCATCGCATCATCACTGGACGACGAGGTGAAATCAGTAGAAGAGAACCCTTGCGCATAAGCTGGCGTCACAGTTCATCTATAGACAATTAACGGAGGCAAAGAGAGTCAATTCCGATCGGACTAGATGAGGCCTAGATTTCGTAGAACACTCTGATTGGTTGCTTAGGAAAGAGGAACGAACAAGGGTCTATAGACGAGAAAAAAATGATCCATTCATACTTCGCTACTTGTTCGTAGAAATACTCATTATGACGGCCAATAGGAATACTTAATACTCACTTACCAAGCCCGGTTGTGCAGCTGACCTGAGAAGCGGGATGTTGAGCTAAGTGGTCGACGACACCCAGAGTCAATTGCTATGCAACACTCTCGCTCGACGGTAAACTTACAATTTCGCCTCGGCGTGACGCGGGTTCAAGCACCTGCTCACTTCCGCAGACTTTCAGTTGTGGTTTCTCAACCTGTGTGTATATTCTATTTATTATTAATTCAAGTCACTAGTCGATTTGCCTTTTTTGGGCGGCAGTCAGCGATGATGAAGCAGTGTTGTGCCTCTTTCGCATAATATATGACATATGTATGAACATACAATATGCATACAAGTATGGAGGGCGGGTTCTGATCGATTTGAGTCACTTGCCTCCGCCTAGATCTTCGCGTAAACTTCTAGGTTATTTGAACGGCGGGAAAAAGTCCAATCTGTCTGTGTAGGTCTTCATTTTCAATCAGTGCGATGGCTGGCTTCCGGTTGAGAGTCATGACGTCGGCAAGGATGTTTTGAAGCTTGATGGGAGCGGGAGAAAGTCAAGCGCGGCTGCTGATCGTCAGAAGACCCATGGTAGATGGCGGTGCCAAATTAATAATATTATAATAATGATTATTGCTATTATCTAATTTATCGTTAAAATAGCGGCGGTCTTCGTCAGGTCAAGCGTGAGTCCTTTTCTAGCGGGATGAGTTTTCTTAAAAGGAGGTCTGCATCGGCTTGACTCGATGCTTCGTTATAACGATGAGAAGGGAATTTGACGGAAAACATCAGCTGTTGTGTTCATAGAGAGAATCGTCCGAGAAATATAGGGGAAGTCTCCCAAAAAAAAACAACTACATCAACGAGACCTACATTACTCTTGATTTCAACCTATGAGAATCGGTAACGATTATTAGCTTTACAGCTTTCTTGGTTTGTGTGAAATAAAGTTATTATTGCCCACCCAAACGACTTTCTTATGCAATTAGTTACCTACAAGATTCTATCCTCCGGACGACATTCGGGATATGAGAACGAATCTGTCGTTCGAGCTATTCGCGATCGGAGAGACGTCGTTCCTGCCTAACGGGGCATCCCTCCTTTCAGACGAGCCTTCGAAGATGCGGAAATCTCGACGGAAGGAACCGCTCGACCAGAGCACTATAGAGCACGTTTGCGTAGTCTGTCAGTTTTCCACTGTTTTCTCTCTGGAATTGAACGATCACCTCAAAAGTCACTTGGACAACGCCGAGTCACCTCAAGACTGTACGTTCTGTGCCACGAAATTGGAATCTTGCGATGCCTTATACAGTCACGTCGCTCAAGAGCACTTCAATCAGGAGGATACCTGGACCAGAATGCTAAGCACATTCCGTTGCTCCGTCTGTGGACTTAACACGCCCGACTACTCGAGGCTAAGCAAGCATAGCTGTGAGGAGCTAATCGGCATCGATCCTCTCGAACCGATTCCGGCTTCCGCGGTTTATCCCAACATGGAGAACCGAGAGGGAGCTCAGTACGCCTGCGAAGTTTGTCCGTACATTACATTCAATCAAGCTAGCTTCCAACGTCATCGCAACAAGCACCGAACAGGACCCGCCATAAAATGTGTTTACTGCGGCCGACCAATGATCTCGAAAAACTCTTACGAGAGTCACGTAGCTCGGCAACACGTCGAAGCGTTGCTGGGAACGATCCGCGAGAATATGGAGGGTGTCAAAGTTAAATGCATGTTTTGCGATTCACTCTGTGGTCCGAAAGGTCTCAACAAACATATCGACGTCGAGCACAAGAACGCCAAAACTTGTTTACTCAATCGAAGCAAGGCTCAGAAGGTTTAGAACAGGGCGCCGAAGGCATCGTTTTTCTCGCGTCGTCCTCGTGACGAGCGAGAGCCTGAGATGAGAACATCGCGAATAATCCTAATCATCACCCCCGTTGGTTTCGCTAGTGAGAACTGTTGATCACGCCTCCGTATCTATTTTCACCTCGGATTTCATTTGATTCGTTGAGTATTTGTATGAATGACGAAGTGTCCGAGCATGCCACGTTGTGTACATACTGCCCGTATTTTATCGCGATTCTTGAAAGATCGAACGAAAGTCGAGACAATGCCACTTTGAAAGGGGATTGATCAGTTGAGGAGTGGTTGCATGGATCCGTGTACATATTGGATATACAAGCTGGATTCGACATAAATCCTGCGACTTTTGATAGTCGGACCACCCAGATTTATTTTCACTTATCCGAATCCTTCTCCGAACGGCGCCAGCGATCGGAACGAATGATTTTGCGGAATTGGCCGCTCATTCATCTATTGAAGCTCCCCCGAGCCCTAAATTCACCGAGCCTTCCCTTTGCAGACTGGGGTATAGATGTTCCCGACAGTACCGCTAAAGACTTTCAAAGTTCCGAAACGAGTGTTTGAGCCGGAGAAGACATGTTCATGTGAATAAATCTGCATCTTGTTTTCCGATCGATCAACGACGAGGGCCCTTGAATTTCACATTCTGATCAGAGAAGATGCAATTAGAGACCTCCTCTCATCCCTCGATTTTCGCGAGTCCGCATATGCCATTTCTCTTAAGACGGCTCACAAGCTTATACTCCGAAGCCTGATGTTTCAGCTCCACGGAGAACTTCACGTCGGTCTTCAAGAGGAGTTTCGAGTTTTCAATGCCGCTCGTGCACGTTCACCGCCGGAAGCCTGTCCGCTCTAAGGTACCACGAGGAGTTCTTCCACGGAGGCAATCGTCCGTTTGCTTGCGACTTCTGCGAATATCGAGCGAAAATCCGTGCTCATCTAGTCTCTCATCTGAAGACGCATTCCGTAGACAGACCGTATTCGTGTACGAGGTGCGATTTCACCGCGAAACGGCCCAATCATCTCAAGCTCCACATGATCGCCAAGCACGCCGAGCCTCACCCGATGACGTTTTCTCAGGCGTATCGCCTGTGAGATTTTTGTTGTTCACGATTTCACGCTCCGGCGCTCCATGCGAGATCACTCCGATGCTTTTCCTGAGCTCTAGGCCGATTCTCGGCAAAACAAAGCCTTCTTCGTTCCTCCACCTACCCCTATATCCCTCTTTCCATTGTTTCTTCCTATGATCCACTATGGTAATTCTGATTCTGGTGTTCCCGCTCTGTAGAAAACGATCGGACTGATGAAGCAATTCATAAGGTTTGTCGTCATGGAATGTATTCAGCCCGTTCAAGATACAACCTGACAGCTTGAATTGTAAATACAAGAGAGTTCGTTGCTCCAAGAGAGAGTATCAAGCGATGTACTGCAGAGCGGCAACTCTGATTCGATTGTTTGGTCGGTAAAGTCATGATATAATCCCTGTTGATATAAGTTTGAATATATTTATTGTCACCGAACTTGTTTTCGTTGAATAAAGATTCACTTTCTCTATACGCTATCGACAATTGTCAGCCGGTTTCATCGAGTCGAAGACCTCACGGAGTGCGGAGGAGATCCGGTGACTACCGGAATACGCATCAGTGGAGTGCGGATGTTCTCCGCGAGCTATCGACAGACTCTAACGGATTTTTTCCTTGCAGATGAGTGGATGCGACCAATTCCAGGTGTGAATGAAGGGCGCCGAGCAGATCAGAAAGTTTGCATGGTCTCTTGATTTAAGTTTCCTTCTGGCGAATGAATATTTATGTTGATGAATGAGTCCCCGAGCGCAGTGGAGAATGAATGTGCTCTAGAGGAAGCTCGGAATGAATGAGGCTCCGGGTTAGTTGTCGGGAGGGATCAGCGACTTCCCGACGTCGACTCTGGTCAGCCCGAGATCCACTCAAAGGGGAACGGACGGGACGAAAAAAGGGTAACGGATCTCATCGATTAATTGAGGTTGGAATCGGCATAGAAATAACTGAAAGAAAAATCCTGGCTTTTCAGTTCGCTCTTCGATTGGCTCTCATTCCCATAAGAATTCGAAAGTCATCCGAGTCGGTGCTTACATCGGGCTCTACCGGAGATCCATGAGAAGCACAGAATATCTTTGCCTTTACCCCTCCTGCAAGTATACGACGCATTCGTATTCCACAAATCTGAGGAATCATCTCTTCGGGCACTTCGGTGCGAACCCCTTCATATGCGGCAAATGCAATTACAGGAGCGAGCGCTTCGATTCGCTCAGAAAACACTGCCGCGTTCACACAGGTCAGTTACTCGAGTCGCTTGCGATTCGCACTATCGACCTTGAACCATTCTTAACTCGCTTGTTCTTTCCCAGGCGAGCGCCCCTACGCCTGTCCGATTTGTGGATATCGCTCGAAGACCAACTCGAACCTCCACGCTCATATTCGGACTCGTCATAAGAAGCCTTCGGGGAAAACCGAGCAGATGCCCAGCATATGCGCTCAGTACGAGAATCTTCCCGAAGTTCCTCCGGGAATTCCACCGGAAGATCCGCCTGGGGCTTTGCCAATCTCAACTGAAATCCTCACGGTGTCGAGCTCGCCGGATAGCGGTCTGAGTTGCGTCCAGGAACCCCCCAGTGTCGGTCTACAACAGCTGCTCCAGCATAATCCTATCGATTACTCCTTGGTTGTCCAGAAATCCGTGGGGCACTTGGCAGAGTTTCGCAAGTGATCCAAGTGCTATCTTGGGAGCTGGGGGACAACAACTAGATCTTGGAGGGTGTTTGAGGCCGAAACAACAAGGCATAGAATGAGGGGATTCTCACGTCAAAGATGTCGGTCAGATGAGCCGGATGGCAAGGGCCTGATTTGAGTTCGCGGTACCTGTAGCTCGAGCGTGGAGGTCTGAGCTTCGGAATGTGATTTTTGTTCGCTTTGATACTTTCTAATCTTGGCTTTCAGCCGGGCAGCTTTCGTATTCTGTATACATTTATGAGTTACTCCCGAGGAGGACCTGTAGTCTAGAATGGGCAGTGAGCTCTCGTAAGCATCGCACATGGAAGCGTTCCGTCGATAGTGCCAACTTTCAGGAGGGGGAGCATTCAGTTCGCAAGTGTTTTCCCCCACCTACGTGATGGATGCCTGCAACACGCTAAAGTATTATTGCAATCAGATGGATTCAGTTGAGCGGGTACTCGAGAATCATATAGCGTATTCGACAGCTCCGTTTCACGACATTCCATTTTCTGTTCGTTTCGATATGTTCTTATGATTTTAGTGATGAGGGTCCTCGAGAAGCTTTTTATTTGTGGGCGATAAAGTGACCCAGGGGCTGGTCGGGATCCTATGCCAGAAATGAAGACGCTCAGGAAGAATAATTCCACTCGTGAAACATCACTTTAGCCGAATCTCTTATAGTTCAAAATAGGTAGAAAGAAGACACGATGCATTCCAATCGAGTCGTAGGCTCGTGGGAAGACTTGACTCCCTCCCTGCCTCCGCAGGGTCGGTATGTCGAAACCAAAAAACTGATGTGAGACAACGAGCAGAATCAAAATAGATACTATACATAGAAGTGAGCTACCAGAAACATGCTATCATGGCCTGAACGATACCAATGAACTCGAATGAAAGAGCAAAATCAAAATATTTCCCAGTGGGCTCTCACGCGGAACCTCCGATATTTTAGTACGGACCGGTTGTGCTCCATATGACAAAGTAAACCAATGATCTCAGACCTTATATGTACCTCTATACGGGGGAAAAAGACATCGAACGACGAGGGTATAGCTGAATATTCCCGTGATTGTGTGATCCGTCTGAAAACCTCCAGATGCTCAACAGAGATGCGCGCGGCCTGCGACCCGATCGCCGGTCGCGGGTTCCTCCGAAGATTCGCATCTACCACCTACCTAACCTACAAGCTATCTCACTACCTACTAGCCTCGCGTCATCGAATGCTTACTCCAGGAATGAGTGGTCCTCGATTCGGGAGACGAGCGTCGACAATGCGGTAGCCAATGAGCCGGCGATGAAAATTCATCTCTATGGATTGATTGGAACAGCTAGATACCAAATACACTTGATATTTTCTATCGGAAGCGTCGCGTCATTCTTCTAGATAGCTCAGAGATGTTCTGCTGTGGGAGTGCGGCTGAGCATGTACTAATCTGAGTTTTCCTTGCAGACAAAGCGTTCTCTGTCGTGAGCGATGTCTCTCTTCGAATCGTCTTCGGTGTGAGCTTCGGTGTTTACCGTTATGCCCGTCCTGCCTGTGGCTGGTGAATTCTCTGTGGAGTTTCCCCTGTTCTATGCGATTCGAGCTTTGCGCCTTAGAACAAGGAAATAAATTGTGACGTCTCTCCTTCCCCCCATGTCCTCAAGCGTCATACGTGGCCGGGGCTTGTCGCCTGTCATGATTGTCTCGACCGGTGGTGTGCATCGAACGTTTACGAACAGTGTGGTTTTGTGCTCTCTCTCTGCAGGGCATCGAGAATCGTCAGCGTCGGGATCGAAACACGTCTGCAACTTCTGCGGGTACTCGACCGTCTACAAGCACGTGCTCACGCATCATATTCGCACGCACACAGGTCAGCGTCTTGGCCTTCGTAGGAGAGCTGCCCCGACTAACCCACGAGAGCGATGAGCTGATCTCTCCTCTTTTTCCAGGGGAGAAACCTTTCAAGTGCGACTTCTGCGACTATCGTGCAACCCAGCGGTCGAATCTCCGGAAACACATGGACCGTCATCTCGTTCCCGTAGTACAGCAATACGCGGCGATGGCCACACAGGCGGCAGCACATGTTTTTCACTCGTCGTTGCAACCCGAGTGAAACGAGAGGGCACAATGAGTCTGAGGTCCTCTTCTTTTCGCCCCTGATGATGTATTACTCGACTTCGAAGGCCACAAACAAAGAAGCCAATCAAGCAAGCGATAAGATATGCAGCAGTCCAGCGACTAACTGACCGCAGCCAGCCTTTCCGGGAGTAGAAACAAACAAGAACTAGCGGAATAACTAGTACATCCGGAAAGACGGACGAATTTTGCAATATGATTCTGCGAAACACTTTTGCCTTAGAAAGTACAGAAACAAACATTAGTAGGGTATGGCGGGGGGGGGGCGCGGGTGCTTTTTATTGAGATTCTATCTACATGCATGCATACATAGTGACATAACTGACTGGAACACAGACAGGCAGGCGAGAGACAAACACCCAAATAGTCGAGGGATTTACGTACATTGCTCGAGAGTGAGCAACACGAAGCAGAAGCAGTTTCCCTCGAGCTTACTCGAGGGCTGCTGCGGAGAGAGAGTTCACGGAATCCCCTTGGGTACCATTGATTTGGTACTTGTATAATAGTTCCTCATGGAAGGAAAAACGTGTTTGACAGTTCCCAAGGGGAATCTGAGGCTTCATCGGATATGTTGCAAAGTTCAAAAAAATTCTGGAACTGAAGACACACACCTAGACGAAATGTACAAGTAACATCGCAAGCAATAATGTTTTTACGGTCGACGTCAGGAGGGTCGTTTGAAGGTCGTTGAGGAGTTCCTAAATAATCATGTTGTCTGTTAGAATTGTAATAATATACCAGAGTCAGGCGGAGACGAATGGCGAAAAATGACTGAGAACCTCGAAGAGAAATCATCCCAATGCAGCCAGCAGACAGACTCAGAGATTTCCTGCGCGTGGGCGGACACTCACACAGTTAGACGCTGGGCTCGGGGAGCGATGCAACATGCAACTCCAATCGGGAATCGAGTCTGGACCCTGCATTCGGGACCGTCGCTCTCACAACCCTAATTTTTGGCAACTCAAAAAGCGAGAGCATCACTCGGCTTAAGCGTCGATCGAGTTCTCTTCATCGCTCCTCGAAGTTCCCGAACACTGCTTGAGATCCGATACAACCAGTTTGCTGCTCCCAACTACATGGACAAAGACGATCATACGGGGGCCCACAAACGGGCCGCATTCCCACATTCGAAGCGGGGTACAGAAGGAATAGGTATCGAACAGAAAATCACTGGGGCGCTGATCGTTCCCACCATCATCGCAAGTCTATCACGATTGAATTCTAGACAATCCTCCCGTTTTGGCCATCGTCCTCCCATGATGATGATTGATGATACTGACGATGGAATCGGAGTCTGCCTTGATGGTGTGGAATCGTTCGAATCTATCCAAATCTGACAGATACGGAGCACTGTCCAATAGTTCCGCTGCTGATGCAATCACTCGTTTTCGAAAACTCCGCTGCGTTCCCAGCGGGATAATCATTGGCGGTACATACAAACTCGGGAAACACGAACACATACGCAAAGAAACACACACGGAAGTCAAATAGCTACCCGTGTTTTCGTCCGGGAAACTCATGACGCCCAAACTGAATTACGGCGTCAATGATATTGGCAGGCTTCGCCTGAGCTCGTGTTACTAACTTACGCAGTTCGTACCATGGTAGTCGTCTTGATTTGACTGACAATGCTAACTGTTAGGAAGAGTGTTATAGTTTAGATGACATCATTTCTACCCTGATTATTATTATCATTAATAATGATTATATTATTACCTCCCTCGTCCCATTGAGGCAATGGAGACGACGACGCTGATGATGATGATTCTGACGACTATTACTACTCGATGGAATAGTAGTCAATTATTGACGCTATTGCTATTATTTTACATAATTGCCCTGTGACGGTAATGCGCCATAATTCAAGTTACTACTGTTTTCTACTCATCACGATCACGACAGAAGTCGTCATGCGGAGAAACTAAGCAGTACAGATTATTACGGGGAACGATGAGAAAAGTAGTCTCTCGCAATCAGGATCATCCGTCCCGACCTGGGGGGATTTCACTGTTTCAATTGCTTTCACCGAATCTTCCCAAGCGTGCCCGTGCCAATGAGCTGTTTTTCTCATCGGTCACCGGAAAAATTATCTGTGCTCAGAGAGCGGGAGGTGACTTCGCTCGGAAGAAAAAGGAATGATTTGTCCCGAGACGACCCCCGTTCCTACCTTCAGCTCGAGGGAGACTCTGAGAAAACCTCGAACCGTCTGTCTACCGTCGGGTATTCCGGTGCAGAGTAAGAGCAGAGTGTGCCAAGTTTTCCTTCCTTATGTTCGCAGCAGAAATCCCCTCGAGATGCGATTACCATGATTTTCATTGTCCATTTTTATTATTATCATTACTATTATGATAATTATTGGTGACGCTCTGATCGTCGGAACTCATCGACGATACTACAATCAGTAGCCAATGTCCGTCCCAGTGGATCGCCAGGCAGGTTCATAGATGTGATACTCACACGCAACGAATATCTAGAACGACGAATCGAAAAACAAAAATTCGCTTTTACAATCGTTCAAGTAAACTACGACAAACAACCACTTGATGAACACGATTATACAGCGCGCACTTTCACACACAAATTGTATACTGCATCAACCGTATGCCTATTATTATTTTCGACCCGAGGACGATTTTTTTTCGTGCTCCGATTATTATTTATAGAACGATGATTGATTTTTGACCGCTCCTCTTTTGATGATCGATGAGTCCTTTCTCGGAAGTATATCCCTCGAGCGCTGCGGTCGCGTCAACAATCGATCGCTGACAACCCCCTCCCATGAGTTATCATTGGTCACGAATCACGAATCCATAGTCACAACCTGGCGGTTGACGGAGATTGGAATTGGCGAACAGTGCAACTAAGACGGCCTCACCGGCATAATCTTCAGGTCACAGCGAGGCGGCTAAAACGACGGCCACAATCGCAGCCACAACCGTAGCTGCTCCACTTATAGCGACGAAACCCATGCCGAGGAGAAGAACTGCCAGCTGTCGATTCACCACACAGACTCACAAACTTGCATGGCTGACAGCTGGCCGTGGGCTTCGAGGCGAATTCAGTCAAATTTTGAAGATCCTCAAGACGGACGAACTCACCGTCCTGTCTGTCACAGCGAATATTCTGCAAACAATCAGCAACAAATTCACCAACCTCACCTAAACCCGTTCTGCACCGTAACCATTGAGAAGCATACCATCTCAATTTGGAGCACTTCCCGGAGACACTTTTTACCTCGAGCACGCAATGCAACCGACACGATGCCACCTTCGGGATAGAATCCCAAGGCTTTTCCTTGAGGCCCGAAGAGAATTCTTGTCCTCTTCCATCAGCTCGCTCACAATCCACCCAACACCTGCCGAGCTGAGGAATCCTTAGATTGACGGAAACACGAAGATGACGATAGTGATGACCCTACGAAGAGGAAGAGATTGACGCCAGGGATTGCGACCGATCTCGAGAATGACGTTCGCAGTCGAGCCATTGAGTCCTTAGTGCCATCGAGAGTTCCTAGATGCTTCCTGAGAACAACTACTCAACCCAAGAGAAACAGAGAATGCCGAATGCCAAAAGCTAACCCCCGCCTCGCTGTTGAACCGCCAAGCCGCGTAGCCGAACGAACTATGCAAATCACAAGCGAAGACGACATCTTACAGACGATGAACATGAAGTACTTTGTTCAACAGAGTTTATCAGCAGACCAACCCTCCAAGAACATCGATGATTTGACACGGAGTCAAGAGTCAAGCACCGAGTTGATGAGTCATCCTCGAAAACTATGCGACGATCATGATTCGCACTTACCATGATAGAGCGAAATTGAACAAACTTTCCTTGGACCTCTTTCCCCGTGTTTTCGTGAAATGATTTTTCGTTCCCCCTCGTGTAATGTCCTCTAGTCAACGAAATCAAAGTTTTCGGAAACTTCTTCGGGCTTGAATATCCGGAAGAGTTTTCCCGGAGCTAACTTCAATCTGAGAGCATTTTCTTGATGAGTCCAAATTCCGTGATCCAGGTGCCTTGCATGTTTTCCCTCGTTTATATTCGAGACGGATCATGGTGGCGCATCAAGGTTCCGCGGACACAGTGCATTTGTTTTTGTCCTAAGCCATCTGGTTTACGGAGCTACTGTCTGTTGAAGTCTTGAAAAACTTTTCTGATCGTCCTGATCAATGCTTAGGTCGACCAAGCGCCAACTTCCTAAGAAACTGTGTTCAGCTTAAGTGGGGCGACAGCCCGTCTGAATTTCGCATTTAGACAGAGGAGTCTGTCCCGAACATTTGGGCTAGAGAGGTATTGAGAGAACGATGCAGGAAGCCGCGGTGAGAGCACTTATCATTCGGAGCTATCTCCCAGTACTTTTTTACCGGAACTTTTTATCGCCTGGAGAGGTATTACCATCACCGTTACGCTTCCTGGAATATTCATCAGACTATGGAACACATACAAATGGAGTAATATAATTTCGAGTCGATGCGAGCTCTGGTGGCAATAATCATTATGATAACTCCGATGTTTATATCTCATGCTTATTTTCTAGCCTTTCTGAGGGATCTGAAGTCTCGATAGGGGAGTGCGGATTCGATTTCCTGAGATTCGTTCATGGTGTTCTTTGCCTTTGTAGGCATGAACTTGTTTAGTTTCCTTCTCCAATGCCTGTGAGCACTCTTTTGAAACCGTGAGACGGGAAAATGAGCATGTTCTTGAGAATGAGAATCATCCCGGAATGCCCCATGATGTCCTGATCCCGATAGATGTCTCTTTGGGATTAGGTAGGTTGTTGCGATAGACTCAGACTGCGGACCTAAAGTCCGTAAGATTGTCCGAGCAAAAGCACCGATTCGGTCACGTCTATGTAAATGGAATAAGAATGCTCATTCCGAACGTTTCACGGATCTTTCTGTGTATTTGTCAGTGCCTGGCTCGATACGGTCATCAGTATACTCCCTCTCCCCCCGTTATTTCGAGTTGCCTAGTTCACCTGGATCCGAGTGTTTTTCTGATTGTTTTCGTTTCCCTTGAATAGATTTCTCAGCGAACTTTCTATCAACTGAGGCGCCAAGTTCTTCGACTTGTCCTTTGTGGCTCCTTCCTTTTTTGTACGTGGGCTCATGATCGAGTCGTATGCCGTTTTTCATAGATTAAGATTCTATCATGACTCATGAACGTTACCATCTGACAACAGCGACATCGATGGCTCTTCACATCGCTGAGCAACATCAATGATGAGGAGAAAGCAATACGAAAAAGAGCAATATATACAACAGTCGAGCATACAAGCGATACACATTATATCTATATTGGAAAACTGCGGAGAAAGTATAAGATCAATTAATATAACGCATTATTATGAATAAGTATAAGTATAAGTATGATAATGATATGAAGTATGGCAGGAGAATAATATACAACGAAGATGCGCGGCCTTTCCTAATTGTCGCGAGAGCTATTGTTGTTGCGAGGAAATGCGTGGATGTCTGGATGCTGATGGAGCTAAATCAACGAGCGAAAGATCGAATGATGGCTGAGTGAATGCCTTAGAGCATAGATGAATGGATGTATTCTTGATGGAGTGATGTTCTGAATGATGGATGGATGGATGGATTGCCCGATGGATGCATGGATGAATGAGTAAAACTTCGACGGTGACTGGAGAATTGAGCGAGGCGTACGTGATTCGAGGAACATGATTTTCAAAATCTCTGGTCGATTGAGACTTGGATGCGGATCGATTCACCATTCGGGAAATTGATAATCTAGAAACTGATCGATCGCTTGAGCAAGCTCACCAGCGACTCGATGAAGATCCTCATTCATTCAATAAATCAAACTATCGATGAATCAGTGAATCGACGGGACGACCGACTGGTCGACTTGTCGTCCAGAGCCTGATCACTGATCTGCTCGCCTCAGATACAAATCATCAACCACCCAACAAATCTATCTATCTATCAATCAATCGATCATGGCCCGAATCGTTGACTTTTGTTGATAGATAAGAAGGAGGAGAAGGCTTGTTGCTTCGTCGATGCTATTGGACCGACAGGATTTTTTTGCGAGAACACGGCCCACCGGCAAGGTGAGCTCGGTGTTGACTCGGTCTCGTTCATTGTATGATACTCGACCGGGTTACAAAGCGATCGGTTCGAGTCAATTAGAACAATCATTGAATCAAACAAGCGATGCATTGAGACACAATCAATCAATGGATTGAACGATGGAGAATCATTTATTCAACACAACCAAGATTTAGATAAATTGAAATGCCTAGCAGTGTTCAGCTAAGCGGCATCTGTTCGTAACTGAGGTAGACAATGTTGAGCGTTTGTACTGATGCATTTACGAATGATTACTAATAAAATACTCATTATTAGAAAAAGCCCATGCTTTATGCCTTTCGGCTGCCGACTGGAAAGATTCATCCGAAAGAGTTTAATCATCGAGCATTTCCTAACAGCTGTTCTCCTTTCAGAATCTTGACTGCTCCATTCTGCCATCCCCGGACACTGTGTGAGAGAACCCTGGAAGAATGAATAAAGAACGTCACTGGCGAACTCATTGGAAATTCATCCTGGATCGGGTCGGAGTCCATGTGGTTGCCACTCATGCCGGACTCGCGGCTCAGCGACTGCTAATTCATTTTCTGCCAATTTTATTCTTCAGACAATATGATGGAGCTCCTGCACGGGTGCTGGGATCTGCGAGCGGCAACATCGTCATCGAATCTAGAGTACTCTCATCTCGTTGAAGACGGCAACGGACGCCGATACTGGAAGTGCACGTGTTGCGACTTCACAACGAACTACAAATTCTCCATGAAGCGGCACGAAAACGCTCATCTAGGCGTGCGGCCGTACAGGTGTCCGTACTGCAGTTTCGCCTCCGTAGAGAAAACAAACGTACCACTGCACATCAGAACCAAACACCGTGATCTTCCGGTGCAGGTTCTCATTAGTAACGAGAAAACCACGCCTCAGATAAATATTCACTGACGAGGGATTGATGACGGCAGCGGGAAACTCAAGCGACGCACTCCAAAATAGAGAGTCATAGAATGCTGGTCGATGGTAGGATGGATGACTATGATGAATGCGAGGAAGAATGAATACGGAGAATAGTTGGAAAACTTCAGTTCAGAAGTTCGTATGAACCGAAGGTACACAGAGGCAGAAGGTCGAACTTCGCATTGTCTCGAGACATCCACATTTTGTGCAATTCTGAATCTGGTCACGGTTTTTTCTTGAGCGGTCGAGACCCGCACCCGGTGTCAATATTTTCGGTGACTATTCAATCAAATGTTGATTCGATGAACGAGGAGCCCTCCATCGATGAAAGGAGTCGGTGGAGTTGAGACGAAAAATGCAATATCTATATTTAATCAGGAAGTTAATTAGCAGGAAAAATGTTTCCATGGGTGGGAAACGAATCCGTAGAACAAGTGAGACTCGAATGCGATCGAAGGAATCGGATGCAGGTTTTTCCGACGCGCGGTCGATATATCAGTGAGACGAGTTACTCAAAATACTTCAACCCGAAGAACTCAAAACCTCTATTCGTGAACCCGCGGGGTTCGGAAGCCGGACCAGGTGAATCGTCAAACGATCACATGCGACGGCGAGAGCATACTTGGGGAAGTCACACATTAGTACTTTTATACCGATGACTACTACCGCGGTCCCCACGGATAACGTGATGGTAGATTCTGAGTTGACAGTTATTTTAATTCCTTCTCTTTTAGAGCACCTGAAATAATTTCTAATTTCTACGATGTATAGCTATTGTGATCAGCAGAATAGCTAAGACTGAACCCTGTGCCACAATTAAGATCGACAAAGTACTCAAGGCTTCGTCGAAACGCCCCATTTGTAGATGGCAACTGACTGAGTTGTTTCGCAACGGTATGAGGAATTGGAACGGGAACTTCTGTGTAGATAGCATGGGATTCCCGAAAACGATTTATTCCCCGATGATTTTGCCAAGTTTGGGATGACCACGCGATGGTTATCACGAGAAACACGGAACGGGAGTTGATGATCCAGTGGCTGGACCGGCTTGATCTGTGCCGAACGAGCCCAGAGGAGCTTGAAATCGAAATCATTTGGTGTCCGGACGTTCACTTCAGAAGTGCGTTAAGGACGGATACGAGATCGAGGACTCTAATTGTTGGACAAGCTCCACTAATTTGTCCAACGATCCACCCCTCGCTTCGCTACCCGGTGAGCTAAGCTCGCCATACATTCTCCTCATTTCGATGCCGATAGGAGGTTGATCCCGACGAGCGCGAGGGCTTCGGATTCAACCAGTCTTCCGCAAACTGTAGAGGCGAATCATGATTTCGACTATTTTAGATCAACGCTCCCCGGATTTGTTCGATCATCGACCTGATGATTGTGATTCCGAGGTTTTCGCCTTGGATAGGATTTCTACGATTCCGTTTTGAATAAGAGTTTTTTGTTCGCCGATCGAATTACTCCTCTCTCCCCTCCCCTTGGAAGCCTGAGGGAGGCTGGGGAGGCTTCCATTTTAGTTCAACTGAAGTCACAATTAAGTCTGGTTCGACGAAAACGAACGAAGGAGCACGATGGTAATCCTAGCTTAACGAATGTATTCGTGAATACCTCGATTCCAAAAGTTCGAGACGAATTGCGGAGCAACTGCTGCCGTGGAGCTTGGCAGTAAATTGTTTCCCAGTTGAAATGCAATGTTCTGCTTGTGATATACTCGTCCTATATCGGAAGCCATGATTCAACATGATGACGATAGATATATATGTAATTGAAGATATACACATGAAAGGATATATATATATATATATAAATACAAATTGGAAAAATCCTTTACGAGGAACACACAAAAACAGACACGCAAGGTATGATATAGTCACGAATGATGAGAGGAAGGGAAACGAATCAGCGTGGAGCATTGAGTTCGTGAGCGGAAGCCTGCCTCAGGGTGGCATGGTCTCCGATATTCAGGATCGGATAGCTTGTTTTCGTAGGAGAGTGAAGGCATTCATGCGCGAGTGTGAAGCTCTTCAAATCCCGTACGTGTCTTGACATTGCGGTACGGAGAGTGAGTATGGGTGACGCGTTGGAGTCGACGATCTTTCACTGAGTTACTGTTATTTTTTCACTACAATCTAACGCGAGAATGTCGACTATGAATCGGTGAAACAACGGTAAGTCGATTCGAAGCGAAACGGAAGGACTGAGAAATCCAGTTGTGGGAGGGCTCGGGCGATGTTGATGATGACTCACAACATCTACAATCATTACGCGGCAACATCTTCCATGGTGGCAGCCGCACCGATAATGACATCAACGATTCAAATGATGTGCTTTTTGTGATTATGTCAGCAATCATTCCTCTGGTGTAAATAAAAAATACTCAATTATACCGAAAGAATTTCGAAAATGGAGCATTCTTCTTCAGTGGAGCCTATGTCAGACTAGTCTGGGAGCCACGGTAGTCATCTCGACAGATTCTAATTTCGCGTTTCCTTCCAGAATCCAGGGTCAACACCATGCAGCTGTTCTTCGAGAAAGGACGACGACAGAATGAATCGCGTCCGGCCCATCTCATCCCTCTGAATATAAACGCTGGGACGAGGGCCCTCAGGGGCGTATCCGGCGACCCTCACTTTGTTATCATTTCACATAATGTATGTTCAAGAATGAGCCTCCCGCAATGGGAGCAAACACCCCGCTAGAAGCCCCTTTAGAGCCCCGTGGTAGCGAAGAGCCGATCATCCGAGCTCGCAGATGATCCGAATGCGTTCACTCGTTGCAGAAGATGACGACGATGAGCCGCCCGCGAAACCTCCGGTTCCTCCGATGGTCCGACTTGTGCCGAACATCCTCCTTAGAGCCTCGAACGTTGTGAACGCCAGCCGAAAAGCTGGCGAGCTCCCTCGTATCATAACTAAAATCATCAAAATTCAACCGAAACTCGATCCCGCTCTGGCCGAAAGAGCGAAAGAACTCGCTGCCTCCGGCAATTACGATGAGCTGATCTTCTCGAAGTTCAAGCGAGACGTCGCCAAGGTTCAGCACCAATGCCGGATCTGCGGTTACGATTCGTTTCACCGCAACGCTATCATTCGTCACATGCGCACCCATACTGGAGAAACGCCTTTCAAATGCGGCTACTGTACCTACAGCTCGTCTCAGAAGGCGAACTTAATGCGGCATTTGAAGCAACACGCGGGCGGTCGACAGATCTCTCCCAAAGAGGTCATATCGGTTCAGGAGGACGAAGACGACGAATCCGCCGCTGCGGCCGTCGCTGCGGCAGCCGCGGAGGAGCTCAGGTCTCAGAAGAGACATTTTCCCATCCAGAAACTGGTCAATCACGTTTGAGCACCTGTTCTGGTCATTTTGAGTTCCCTCACGTCATAGAGATCGGTGTATTTTCGTTTCCATTCGTTTGAGTCGTGCTCATGCAGTCTCCGATTCCGTTCCACATCAGGCCAGGAACTTCGTGCAATCCTCGGCGGATGCTCTCTGTCAGGAAGGTGGATGATTTTCAGAGTCGATTTTCTTTTTGGTTTCAATCGACCCTTTGCCCTTGTTTGCCGGCTGAGTTTCTGTGCCAGGGAATTGTTGGACCTATCCATGACCGGAGATCCGGCAGCTTTGATTCGACTCTCTGTTCTCCCACTCGACGATCCGTACCTCTTTTGTTCGCCTGTTTGTGTGTTACTCCGTACGGATTGTAAGTCGTCAGTCGATTCCTGTTTTTCCGACAGCAATAGGTGCTTTCCTTTCTGGTGCGATATTCCAAGGTCTGTGGTTCAGATTTACTCAGGTATACTCAGGTTAGAAGTGAATGTTTTTTAGGTATGTTCCCCATGCAGTGCAATCATCTTTGTATGCGATCGATGGGTCGATTTGCTTGCAGGGCGATCGACCCATCAATCGACAATCAGTCAATCAATCAAACAACCAACCCTGAAACCATCGTCAATCATGTCGTCTCGAGTTCTTCTCCCGGACACGGACAATCATTCAGTCGAGGAATCCAATGTCGTCTTCCTGGTCCGGGGGCTCTCGAGGACAGCGACGCTTAGGTGGGAGCTGTTCCAGCGTGCTATATACTCATCAATCATTTATACCCTATATATGATATATACAATACTACCGAATAGTGTGGCTTGCGGTTCCGAATATCTATCGGTATGTTCGAGTTAGCGATCACCGCTCGGCCATCCATATTGACCTGGTCTATGTACGCCGACTTTTGCCAAATAAGTTCAGGAATCTTCCGGAGCTTGCTCGGAATCCTCAGGATCTAGCGAACTAGGGAACGATGGAGCTGAACTAGGGACTTGTCGACGCTAGTGCAATCTTCTCGATATTAGATAAGGGGAGCATTGATATGCGATTAGTCATACGCATGATACACCACTTCAAACAATCGATTACTTTAGAAAGACACCTGACTTAGTGTCTTTCTGGTTCGAATCTCAAAAGTCAACGCTCCTCCCGGGAGCGCTGCATTTAGTAATGATACTCCTTGCCAAAGATGCCAATCAAAAGAATCGCGGTTCTCCTGAAAGGCTAATCGAGACAATGATTTATATCAAGATCTCATGAACACAACTTCCGTGGAGGGCATTTGGAGCTTGGAAAGATCACGATGGTGAACTTCATGTACACCCGAATAAAGATCCCATAGCTTCAACGATGTAGTCTGACGGAGAAGCGACGAAAACCCAAAACTCGATTGTTCTCAGTGTTCTGTTGTTGCTCCTTTTGTTGAAACGTTCATATAATTATTCCTCTCCGTCGCCGTTCCCGTCTTGGTCTCTGTTGTTATCCTCGTCAATGTTTCGTCGGCCGATATGTCCATCTCGAGTCCTCGTTCTAGAATCTCGTTCCTACGAAGGTCCACCAATGTTCCTATATGTAGCTTCAAACTTCTCCGAATTCTCCGTTCGTCCATGACCTCCACCTTCACCGCAGCCGCTTCGGGTTCACAACATCATCCTTCGGCAGAGAGCGATTGTCTAACATTGTTTTACCGTAGGGCCGCCGAGCGTCAACAGCGATACTTCGAAGGATTCCGCTGACGTCATAGGTCTCCTGCCTGACTCGATTAAAGGTATACTCCTCCAGCAGGGGGGTTCGACCATCTCGACACCGCCGCAGACGCAAGCGCCGCGGAGCTCTTGTCCACGATGTTCGCAGCACGTTCCGCAAGCGGCTCTTCGGAGCCACTTGCGTACCGTTCACAAGATGGCCAACATTGAACCGGCGCAAGAACCGACGCTGCAAGCTCCCAGCATGAGCATCATGGCTGTCGCAACGACCTCTGGCTCTACGACGCCGGCGGTAACCAGCGCGGCAACGAGTGGGTCTGTGAACTCAGTCGCAGCCGCCGTGGCAGCAGCTGCTGCGGTTGCGGCAGCAGCAAGTGTTCCCGTTGCCGATTCTTGCGGACCAATTAATCTCTCAACGAGCGGATCGAACTTGACGAATCCCGAGGGTCGATTTGTCTGTGATCAGTGCCATTATGAGACGAACAATTTACAACACTACAAAATCCACCAGAGGACGCACACGGGCGAGCGTCCTTACAAATGTAGTCAATGTGTCTACAAGGCCACACAGCTCTCGTCGCTCTACCGCCATCAGCGAACTTTGCATCCGCAGGGTCAACAGGGCAAGGAAACTCCGAAAAAGAGCATTGGCCCTTGATTTGCGCTCGACTGTGAGCGACTGCTGCTATTCCTACGGAGGCATCAGTCTGATAGCTTGGTGGAGGATGACAAGCATCGGACGATCAGGAGAGGAGAACGATATTGTTTATCCCGCTCGTTCCCAAGCTCCCTGAGGTGTACCTCCTTATTTCGGGGTTTTAATTATCATTAGGCTTCATAGTGATGGATTTGGGCGAATACATCCGTCGAGAGATCTCGAAAGGCCAAACTTGTGCTATCGTCGGGGGAAATCCCCTCGCACGCTTCGCTTTGTCAGTACTGGTGGTTATCGGAGACTCTGCGCTTGGATTCCACTTCGATCATAGATAATTCTCTTGTCGGGGTCGATTGTCTATAGCTCTCGAGATGGTACTGGCATTCAGTGCATATTCAGCGATCGTTTGAGATGGATACGGATACAATAAAGATGCAACAAAATTATCTTTCCTCTCCTGGTCTTGAGCTCATGTTCATTTTTCTCGCCATGCTGGTGGACGCAGAGGGGCGAGACGCGCCGATTTCATTTCTGCTTTCGCTGCGGTTCTCATTGAGTTCGATCTCATTATATTCGTTTGTCGCCGTATTCAAACTGCTTGCAGTATGGAACCGTCATCATTAGCTTATGTTTGTCGCGTAGATACATAGAGGCTTCTTATATGACAGATTTGATCCGTAGCCCTCCTTATCCCTGCATGACGATTAAGTTTCCGTTTCCCGCTCTTTGTAATCATCTCCGATGGGACTCATCTGCGTTTTCCCCCGATTTCATTTGCATCCTATACCACTTTGGTGGCATCCTCCGTGATTCCGTTTCTCTTCCCGGAGACCTTCTTTTTTTTATTTACCTTACGTTAAAATTTTTGTTTATTTGATGCACTTTTCAGCTCTGGTTTGCTTTATGGATAGTTTCGGTGCGAGTACATCACCCCCAGGACAAGGCAGCGGCTCCTCAAACAACAACAATAATAACAACAATCTCAATCACGTTAACCATAACAGTTCGAATGGCAGAAAAAGCTATAATCAGACGACGACACCAGTCAAATGTGACTTCTGCAGCTATGAGACCACGCATCGAGCCAACATGTATCGTCATAAGTGAGTGATTGGACGGCTGCCGCGAATGCCCAGATCTTCAACGCAGCCTCTAGAGACGCATAATGCTTGTCTTCTTTTTCCTAGGAAAACTCACACCGGAGTCAAGAACTACGAGTGTTCCATTTGCGGAGTGATGACGACCCGGAGCGATAATCTGCGTCAGCACATGCTCGCCAAGCACGGCTACGTTGCTCCTCACATCTCACACAACTCCAGCGGAGCCACGGACATGATCCTGCCGATAACGATTTTCGGCAACAGTAATAACAACAGCAACATCAGCTAGTTCATCGAGAATCCATCGAGTGGTTGATGAGTCGATGAAGTGTCCTATTGGTTTCGTGCGAGAATCCGATCGACGGGTTTTCTCTCACATTGATTCGAATGATTTGTCGACTGCCGTCTCGACGATCTTGATGCGACCCATCGATCATCGTGGTACTACGTACCGAGATCCGAACTCCAGAACGTAAATGAATGGGGAATACATGAAGACGCGAGGGAGGAGGCCCGAAGCTTCTCGTCATCGGGTATGACGATGATGTCCGAACATAACCTCGATCTTGTACAATGCCGATCATCATTTATTCTGTGGAAACTGTCTCACTAATTAGTAAGGGGCGAAACAAACTCAGCAGCGAGTGGGCGGAGCCCCCATGAGAAGAAGACTTCGTACCACCAAAGTGTCTGCGGTCTGCCTCGAATGTTCCGGGTAGACCGTAGCGGGAAACATGAGAGTTAATTGAGTTTTCATACATGCTACCAAATATAACCAACATCAGGATCATTTCGTTGCTATCTGATCGTGTTACAAATGTGAGGATGAAACCGTAGGTTATTTATTGAGTGCGACGTCGCCTCCTAGTCTCAGCGATTGAGAGACGATGCTCATCTCGGAAAAACCAAATGATCGAGCAATCAATGAAGACGGGACTGGAGGAGATCATGACGAATGAGTCCATCGTGAAATCGATGCGAATGAGCTTGGTAACCTTGAGAGAAATTCAGAGTGAGACCTTAGCGGCGTTTGAGTGAAAGATGTGTCGATGCCTGAGCGAGAGAGCGTCCGTATCGCAGGGCTTGTGGTCGACGATTTTTTCCTGGATATCGTTGTCCGTGGAATCCGCGCTCGCATTCGACGGATTCTACTCCGATCTCGCAGGGCATCGCGATGCTCAAATCGCATTTCTCGTTCGGGGAGGAACATGTCCGGGAACTCTCTTTCCATCGGTATCCGGATATCGTCGGCGTCTCTCGAGTGTTTGCTGGTGTATAAACTCATGATCAGTTTCAAGGAGTCACACGTTTCCCCGCTGCGGGGAAAGACGATGCGTGTACAGTGCAAAGACAAAATGCAATTTCTGAAGCCGCGTAGTGAATATATGAATGTATTCTCAACCGTTTCATCGTCGGTTCCCGCCGCTCACCAAAAGATGCACGACAGCCAAGTTCTGATCTCGAAGTGTCTAAATAGGATTTCTCTTTTTCTCCCTCTCTCTCTGTCAAAATTTTTATTCCTCGAATGCGTCTCCCCTCGACTTCACAGTACGGCCGGTGGGAACCAACGAGCGCGTTGACTCACTCTAACCGAAAATGTATACTTCTCAACCGCTATAATTTCCCCAGGACGTTTGTTTTCCCTCTCATTCGACTCCGATATCGATAAGCTTCCATATTCAATCAAAAGTGCAAACGATCGGGTTCAGGGTTCCTTCTGACTCTTTGATGATATACTCAACGAGGATGCGTGTTTTTGGATCGAGTCCATTTCGAGCGTCCGCCATGTGCTACTGAACTGAACTTGTACATTGAATATACGACTGATCAAAGGAGGAGTACCATAAGGTGTATCATGATGATGATGACGATGACTATTATGATGATGACGATGACTATTATGATGAAGAAAATCGTGACGTGATCGTCGGTTCCCATTGGAGCAAAACTAGCAAGAATGACAATCGGATTTTCGACAGCGAAGATGAGCCAGAACAATATCCGAAATGGGTCGATTACGGGGGTCTCAGTAGTTCGACGACCGTCTTCGAGAGATCCGCAGTGGTGAACGTCCGAGGAATCACACAATAAAGTGTCACTATTTCCAAACTGTATCTTCAATCATGTGTGGCATTCACGTCCAATCGGAGGCATGGCTTCATTTCTCGTTCCACTGCAAGAATACCCGATAGGAAACGTTCCCATCTCCCCCGATTTCGGCTCATTCATGTGCACAGATCTCACCGGAGAGATCAGCGAGGCCGAATTCGATTCCCTGCTCGGAATTCTAGACATTCGGGTTATCTTCGAGAGAAGGTCTATCACCTAGCTCTCGCTCAAACGAATGTTTCTGATCTTTTTTAATTCTGTGAGTTTGCCGTGTTTCTAACAGTACTAACTGCAAAATTTACTTCCAGGTACGTGTGGATGTCCGCGCCAACTCGATGATTGCATCGGATCCTCTAGAATCCACAGAATAGGACTGAAGAAATAAACGTGGATTTGATGGGAATGCCTGGAGGGGCATCCCTGAGAATAAACCGCGAATCTCACGTGTCCTTCTATAGCTCACCGTCGCGAGAAAATTTGCTTTGATTGCCGAGACCGCGGTTCTCTGAGGGAGGTTCTCATTGTAGACTCGGACGTCCGAGGAGGGAGCCCGGGCCCCCTCTCTCACGAGCTCTCTTCGCAAGTCGATCGTCTCAGTCTCCCTCGGCATTCTGAGCTTCGTTTTCATTTGTCGAATAATTTCCTATTCTGCTTCGTCTCGTGATGAGCAAACTATGGGTTGCTTCTTCGGTGGATGCTTCACGTTGGTTTTCGATGAAGAACGCATCGTTTCAGTTGCGCGTGCTCCACCGACTTAGTGATCGTGCTCTCGACCAGTGACGGGTCTTTACTGAGCATGTCGTGTTTTGTGTTGCAGAAACGTTCGTCCCGGACCTCGGCAACTGCTTGAGTGCCACGAGTCGACATCCTAACAATCGTCGGTGTCCGCTGTGCGATAAAATTTTTCCATTGAAAAGAGACCTCGAGCGCCACATGGTCAAGCATACGGGTCTCAAGCCGTATCCGTGTCCATACTGTCCCTTCAGGACAACTCGACGGGAGCACGTATCTAATCACGTGAAAAATAAGCATATCTCGCTGTACGCCGAATACATGGATTTTGTGCGGGCTCGCAAACAACGATACCTCGGTTTGAGGCCGCTCGAGTTCGAAGAAGAAATTTAGTGAAATGTTATAGCTGAGAGAGTCTCTCCCGCGGTTCTCGCGCCGTTGTCGCCGTTGTTAATACTATTTACTAGCGAGTTCGTCAGATTGTGATCACACCGTTGAGCGGAAACGTGCGTAGAGGGGGAGTGGAAACAGAGTGATTGTGATGAGAAGTTAAGGCTGCTCAATGTCGGCTACAAAGTGGCGACGCGCATCGTCAGCTAAGGAATGAAACAAACAAAACTGCCATACGACGCCGACACCAACTGTAAGTCAAGCGATTGAGCCACGATCTCTTGAAAGTTACCGTCGGGAATTCGGAGACGTCGACATCAACCGTGAGTCAGTGACCCAATCAACAGTTATAGGTACAAGGTGATGATAGATTTATCTGCTATTATTATTCTCCAAGCCTTACATCATCTATTGAATCGTGTGATTGCCTAGAAAACCGCGATCTGGTGGCGAACAGATGGTGCAGTGTGTAAATAGAGTCTGTTCGAGCGGGTTGAGCTTCATGGAGGGCGACCGGGTCGCTCGATCAGAGAACGGTCCCGGCAGATGAGATTGCGGTGGCTGGTGCGCAGACCCCAATCAGGGACGATCCCGGCGCCTTTGTCGCTAGCTGCAACGATTCAGGGAAGGGAGGCTCTTAATTCGGTCTCCGGCTCTTGAGGCTCTTGTCGGTGTCTCGCGGTATGGATTGGGTTCGAGCGGCACGGTATCGCTTCCAACTCCACCTTCGGTGCCCAGAGGAGCCCCGTCATTTCGTCTCGAGAAACGCAACTTCAGAAAAGCTGCTCTCGGAAAGTAGTTCACTTCGGGGTTATCGTGCGACTCCGCAATACCTGCGCTCTAGCAGGACGCCTCGAAATGAGAGATCCCAGCCACACTCGTTGAGAGTCTTGGCGGTCGCCCTCCGAGTGGAACTTAAGGTCGACGAACACGATCTCGAAGGCATTTCACGGAGCAGAGCTCGACCTGGGAGGAGCTTCCTCCCGGATTACTCGAGCACCAGCCAATATTCTCCTCAAGCATTTTGTTCCGCGGTGCACCGTGCCGATGTTTCGGGAACATTTCTTGTCCGAAACCCTCTGATTCGCTCCGAAGACCCACATCGGGACATATCAGTGTCGTCAATATCCGTTTTTCCTTCCTGGTGCCCGGTTTCGAAATGGTGATCGGCTTTTGGGAATGAGATATTTCCGAGCCATCGCCGGGAGCGACCGACGACACTGTTTGTCCTTCATTTAGAACGATGTCCGCAGAGAAGAACTGATCTAGGTAAGCAGGCGCCTTAACTGCCTCCCTCGCTGTTGTTAGCTTGGCGAGGTTCGGCATTCGCATAGGCTTAAATTTGTGCAATTGTAAGAGTCGAAGAGAGTTTTTTCCTGCGACGACAAATAGCATTTACATACAAACCTACATATGAGAATATATCAAATATCAACGTATAGAAAATCGATCAGCGGGAATCGTGTTAATATAACTTAAGTAATCAGTTGTATGGTAGTGTGAAATTTCCGCCATGGAGCTCCCGAGACCGTCAGAATCGCAATTCGGCACGGCGAGCTTGTCTGCCAAACGGCGGTCGATCGGTGATATTCTCGGCGGAGAAGAGCCCTGCTCGAAGCCGATGGGGAGGCTCGAGTTGATTTTTCGGAAGCTCCGATGGGCCCTGATTATCAAACGCGGCTCCGCGAAGCGATTGGTCACTCAGCCTTCCGGACGGAGAAATTTATCGTATTTACAAGCCTGTTCCTCTTATCACACTACATCTGATCGAGAAGGTCTGCGGTCGATTCGTCGAAATCGAAGCCGAATCTACACACGCCTCTGCAGAGCGATATCGTTCCATCGCGGCCACCGTGATCATTGTCGAGCCTCCGAAATTCGGGAGGATCGCTCTCGCAGATCTTCCCGAAGAGGTGGGCTGTGCATGGTGAATGTCGAGCCGATCGTTCCGCGGCCCCTATCGGAGATTCCAGGCTCCGGCGCAGTCATTCCGGAAGAAATCAAACCAGTAGCAAAGCCCCGATGCAGTATTGATTCATGATGTTCGGTGTCGTTTATCGACGGATTCCTTATTGATTTTTGTCCGCTTCTGATGGGCTTGTTCTTGTTTCGCCCGAATCCAAGACTATCAACATCTGTTACGACATGAGTCCCAACGCTGGGAGTGCGGCATTTCGTTACCCAATATCTCCACGGACGACGAGAACTCACTTGCAATGAGCCTTCTACGCATTCCTGATGCGAGAGAGCTCCATTCCAGTGTTGCATCAGCACCTTGCTGTGCGCACCACCTATCGTCGGAGTCCGTCAACCAAAGATCTTTTTGATCATACAGCCGCGTGATGTTAAGAGAGTTCTATTCTATGATTAGTACTCAGACTGAGATACTTACTACTTAAGCCGAGTGTAAAGAGGATAGCGAATAAATCAATTTATTTTTCTTCTCCTTGATGTAGGTCTTCTGAATCATATTTCGTCTCTCCTTCTCAGAGATACGAAGAAGCTTCGAGGAGTCTTCCATTCCAGGAGAAAGTGATCAGGTCAGCTCAGGGACTGTTCGAGCCGAGGGCAGTTCGGCCCACTCGGGCGGAACGCCCTTCGCTCCAAGGCTTCAGCACCATCAATGCAGGGGATCGGAATTCGGAAGGAGAACCATCGACCCTTCGGCTCGTTTCGTACCTCAAGCTCGATTTGGCTCGATGCTGGATCGTCGACCAGCCCCCCCCCCGCATGTTATTCGCTATCCCATCGCATGTCCGTGGTTTTCGGAGGGGGGCGGACGAAGTGATTACGGATCATGTCTTTCGGCGTCCGACTCGTTGTCAGACTGCCCTGATGCTATTACGACCTCACAAGTTCGACTTCGGTGAGCCAGCATGAATGCATGAATCGCCCCCTCCCTGACCGAGCTCTGCCTGGGACCGCACCTCAGAAAGTCTGTCTTCAGATGAATCGAAAACATCGTACCTCTGGGGTGAGAGAGATTTCGCCGAGAGAGCGATCAGCGCTCGCCCAGTGTACGCGTAAGCTCTCTTGCGTAGACGGAGAAGTCTGAGCCTGTTCACAAAAATGATGTTTATGGTATGGAAGATTATTTCGCTACTATCATCGGGATCATGCCCATCATGTTCCCAATATTAACTCTTCTCCTCCCGTTGTGCTTGTGCCGAATGCCTAATCTGATGGACGGTATTGTGCTCGCCCTGCCCGCTAACCGAATCCGAGCGGATTATTTGCTCCGGCTTCCGCTCGAAGTCTCTTGTATCACACATATCTGATCCGTGTTTTCCTTGCAGAATCCTCCCGCTTGCTGCCCTAAGAATACTGCTTTGAGCGCTAGTGATTTTGTCATCCTGAGCTCGTCTGCGGCTCTCCATATGACGATCTCCTCGGTTGCTTCCGAAGCTGCCTCTTTATCCGCTGAGCCTTTACCGTTTTGTTCCTGTCCGGAAATCTCTTTCTGGCTTCGTGTGGCCTCTCCGTTGATCAATAAAGAGTGAATTTTACTGAGTTCGTCGCGATTTCCTCCTCACCCGTTTCCTTTGCCCGCTGTTCCTCGTATTGACTTTGAGTTCCTCTCCCCGGCTTCTGATTTCGCTCCCTTATCGTCAGTCTGCCCTTGTCATTGAAGTTTCTTGCCTGCTGGATCAGCCTCACATAGCCGCAGTTTTTCCAGACATAAACTTCAACAATGTCGGCGGACCCGGACTCTCGAATTACATCTCGTGCAACGGCTACGACCGCTTCATACACACCGACGGCGAGGGCAACAACCTGTGTCTTATCTGCCAGTATTCAGTGAAGCACCGACGGAACATCTATCGACACATATTGACGCATACGGGCGATAAGCCTTTCCGGTGTACCTCCTGTGAATTCCGAAGTTCTCGAAGCGATAAACTCAAGCACCACATCAAGACAAAACATCAGAACGAGAGTATCATCATACCGGACGTGTCCGTCATCACTGTCAACAACGAAAATCTGCCCTGCAGGCCCAACGTCACGCTCCATCTTCTGCCCATTGGAGACGTTGAGAATCCCGCGGCACCCAAGCGATCTGACAAGAAACGGACCGCATCAGGTAAAAAATCAAAGGACTCATCGGAAGAAAACATGGACTGAACGACGCGCGGTCTCGCCGCTGAACGGACTTGCCAACCGGTTAGCTCAGTCGTTCGGAAAATTTATAAGCCATAATTTTACAACTTACGCTTCACTGGAATAACCTCATGTGCAAAACTCGCTATACCACGTTGATATGAAATATTGCTCACTATGGAAAATAGTGATGTCCAGGCCTGGATCTCCCCCCGACGGATTCGAGGGGAATGGGCCGTGGACGAACGAGCTTCACGAACGTGCCATTCTCATAGTGTCGATCGCATAGAGCGCGACCATGCAATGATCTCTTTTTTCAAGATATTGATGATGTGCATGTATGATCCCTGATAGTTACGGCTGAAAGAGTTCCCTGCAGTACAGACGCTACCGAAGCGTTCGAGCGAGGACGCTATCTGGACCTAGGGCCGCCGAAGTGTTCCTTACCGTACCGAGGCGCAAGAGGCGCGATAAACATTGTTTACTCGTTTCAGCACTATACCCTCGTTGAGTGCAAGCAGAGTACATTTGATTGTACCACGGAGGAGTACCTGAACAGTTTCGAGCTATGTATCCTTACCTGACCCAATATCTCTTTACGAAAGGTCACCGTCTCTAGATCTCAAGATGCCACGGAAACCGAGCGGTGCCCCCGAAGATTGCCCTAAGTGAGGCCTGAACGTTCTTTATTCCATCAGTATATTGATGATAACCGATGATCTCTCTAAGAAGCATCCTCGAATTCACTCGATGACATCCAGTGATCTAGTCGATGCTTCTTCATTTATGGATCTCTTTGCGCCGATTTATTTGCTCAAAGGATGCCAATCATATTATTCCACGATCTCGACCGATCAAATCGTTCCTCAACTAGACGGTTTCGTCTGCTTTCTGACATCTTGCGACGAGCTCACTGCGGTCGCAGAGTGTAGAAACGCGATCCGCCATGCATCTGATCTCGTTGGAAGAGCACAATTCTAACCTCTCTGGAAAGTATTAGGAACCCATGTTAACTGGACACTTGTTACTATACAGTATGCAAAACAGAAAGCAAGAAGTGACTTACTTTAGATTTAATCTCTCCTCGACAACCGATCATGTTACGACGATATATTCTCAGCCATGCCTCAATAAAACGTATCGGAATAATAATGCGAGATACAAGCGTGCTGCTTGATGGATGGGGACCTTGGGGTACGCTTCGCAGATCGACGAATAGTCGGAATTATCGATTGGAGCAGAACTTAACGAGCGTTCTTCTTCCAGATGATACCGGACTCTGAGGACGGAGGATCCATTATTTGTTCATCTTCTGATTCTGACTGTCGTCTTTGCCACAAGAGCGCTCTTCTGCATGCATGTGACAATAAAAATCTGTCCTGTTCCTCCGATCTGATGAAAGATCGAGTTGACTGCTTGTAGCCGATGGTCTCGTCTGCGATAGACGCACGTAATTTCGATAACTAACCCAGCGAACGTCGGACCGTTCAGCAACTCGGGAGATACGACTGAGGTCTCCCTCGACTGAACTAACAACTATGCGAGACTTCCAGTTTCCGTGTATGAATGTATGCCATGTGACTTTTCCATTAACTCGCTTACTTACTTCTCCATTCTCGGGCTTATTTACCTACTATTCCACTCGTCTCTAACACGGTACGTACCTTGAACAGCTCACATTTGTTCGGACTTGCATGCCTCGACCGAGACCTCCGACAAGTTCAGGGTTGTCCGCCGCATACTGAATTCCCGAGATGGAGCTGTCAAATTCATCTAAGAGCGATCCTTTTGCAGAAATACTTCAAGATATGCTAATGTACGGGAGGATAGCGCAATCGTCTCCGCTGGAAACTTCACCACCCAACTCTTCCTTGTACAAGAAGTTCTTTTCTTGCCATGTTTGCGGATACAACACCCACATCAAGAGAGCTCACGAGCGACACATATTGACGCACACGGGCGAGAAACCCCACAAGTGTGATTACTGCGACTTCCGCTCAAACCGCAAGGACAACCTACTGACCCACGTCAGGAAGAAGCATCAAAACTCTGCAATGGCCCTCCAGCTTCTTCTGCAAGCGCAGGAGAACAGCAATAGCAGCATCATCAATAATAACAGTGCATTGAGTTTAAGCGGCAGCGGCAACATCAACAACAACGACAGCTCCACCATCAACCTGAACAATGGAAACAACAACAGCAGTAGCAGCAACAGCAGTGGTGGCGGTCACAAGCACAGCACCCGGCACAGGAGTAACAGGAACAGCAACAATTCCCCAAAGCATTCCACTTCGACTTTGAGTCCGAACGGATTTTCTCTTCTGCCGCCATGAGCTCAGGCAGAGAGAAGGAGGATCTTCGGAACCGCAGCAAAGTAGTAGGATTCGGAAGAATCTCAACAGTCAAGAATCTTTTTTACAAACAACGATTGAACGAACGAACGGAAGATCAACTAACTTACCATTTCGAGAGAAGCTCTTCAAATATTCATGTTAATATTCTATATACAAACGAAGTTAGGCGTGCTCTCAGACGATAGACGTACCCACACCGATTGACAGATGCAACGGCAAAAATCTACATTCATGACAGCGGCTGTCAGAGATGGCGGAGACGTCGACGCGACCATGAGTTTTTCGCAAATACAGGCGATGGGGCAAGGGCAGCTCAAAACTTGCGGCACATTTCCACTTACGGATAGATTTCCACTGTACTTCGTGGAGAGACCGACTTGTTCATATCCCAATCTCATTATCGAGCGATCATTCCGAATATCCCGCGGAGGCAATCCTCATCCCTTGTTCGAGCAGCCTCAGACTCTCGGGAGCAAGCCTCGATTGCGCACGGCATGTTCGGGGCTCCGTGATTGGCCAAGAGAAAAAAATCGCGGGATTGAGCCATTCCGAGTTGAATTCATTCCGACGCTGATGAGGAGGATAATGAATCTCTCCGCTCGTCGAGGTCACAAGCCTGGAACCGGCATTCCGAGCATTCGTTGTATCCACTGGTTGCCGATAATCCTGGACAACGAGCTCAAAGAAACTCACGATACATTCCTTCCCCTCTCGACGATCGCGAATTAAAAGTTACGTCGCGTCACGTCATCCGGCCGCGGATGTTTCTGCTTCCCAAAGCTCGGGAGTCGCCGTATTCAAGGTCGACGTAAAACTCGAAAATATCCACGAGACTGTCCATCGTTCCCGAAGGCGTGTTCCGAGAATATCCGTAGATATTCACCGATCGTCCGAAGGAGGCTATTTCTCGATTCCGGACTGAATTCCGGGGTGATCGCATAGCTAAGACTTCGCAGGAAAGATGGTCTTGTGTCGGAATATTCCGCGTTGTGGTATCACCAATTTGGAGTCCATGGTTGCCGCTGCTATCGATGTAGTGTGCGAAGTGACTTTTTCAGATGTCAGCTATGTATTCCTGTTCCCCAATCTCAACTTACCCTTTAATATCGTCCCTGAATCGGCTGCAAATCGACTTACATTTTATCGAAGTCGAGCGTTTGCTCACGGTGACCTTGATGCCGACCAGTTCTGCTTTTAAGAATCATCGTTCTGTTCATTTATAGTTCAGGGGTGGCGCCCATACTCCGGCCTGCGGAGACATGGTTCCTAAGACTCGTGACGGGGGACATCTGTAGACGGACAATCGCGAGGCTACCTGCTCCCATGCTACCGATGAGTCTCTATCGGGGGAATCGGTGGGGGTTTCCGAGCAGCTGCCCCGAGTGAGCTTGAAGAGCTCCGTCCGTCCCTTAGTCTACCCGTCACAATTAATACTCTCTGCAGGTCTCGCATAAATGCATGATGTCGCGAGCCTGGATGGCCGGAGACATCCAAAGAGATCCAAAGATACTCTGGTTATATGAATGATACTGTATTGTATATGCTATGAATTCTTTCTTTTTTGAAGAACAAAACTATTTTTGTATTGAACTAAGCCTCGATCCGACCGGTCAGTCCCTCTCCTGATCAAATGAGACGAGCACCGCGACAATACCAACCTCCTCCTCGGAGCATCGCGGTGTTCAGGTCAATCGTGTAGCCCGCTGCGTTCGAGAAGCTGAGCGAGCCGAAGAGTTTTCCATGAGACCGAGTGGAGGCCACCCGTAAGCGTTTCTTCCCCGGCCTTTAATCGGGTGGAGCGTGTAGCGTGGCGATAGGTCGCCTCCGGACGAAGTATTAGCCTCTTTCGATCCCACGGGGGGCTGACCGAGTCGCCGAAATTCTGCGAAGAAATATTTGACTTGTTGAACTCAGTCTTCGCATACAAGGATCTGAAGCTTACTCAATCTTTACCGACAAAGGGCGACGTGCAACCGAACATATTCTCTGATTCTCTGGAATCGATTCTTTAAAACAATCTTGTAGAACAATTTTATACCTTCAATTTGTGCCGGCCTCCTAGACTTTTCCTCTCCATTCATGGAGTCGTTGTTTCATGGAGAATCATTCCGAAAAGCACTGACCTATCCACGCGGATGGGTGGGATTTCGAGACAGATGAAGCTACAGACCTATATATGTATTTTTAGGCGAACACTCACTTAGCCCGATTTGTCCTAGACTCATACGGAGTAGTCACAAAGCTGCAATAAGTTGTCTCCTGATCTTGCTCTTGATCATCCTTTGTCCATGTGTCCTGGGAAGAAGCGAGCGCGAACAAGCAAGCAAGCTCGTAAGTAACCCGATTAAGGGACCCAAGCGATCGATTGCCCATCGGTTGACTTCGCCACTCAAACTAGCCAGACACGGATCAACTCAAGCAAAAACATCTCTTGGTATCTTTCAATCTTGAAGGTTTCAGGGTAGGGCCTTACAACGATAATGACTATGATCGCGTTCTTATGCATCAATTTACTTCATCGCTACCTTGAAGTCTATGCGAAACGATGAAACTCAAAGAGGAAAAGCACTGAAGTGAAGTGCTTCTTCTTGATGCGAAAGAAATTTATCTATCAAGGTCCGCAATAGTATCAAGCGGATACCCCTCTTGATCCACTGACAAACGCAGCAGAAGAAGACTCAGCGACGGAAATGTGCAACGAATAATCAATCATAAGCTACGTTTATGAGTGAATTTATACAACATCTCTATAAATATATTATATATATACCCCATGAATGTAGAACGACTCGATTCACGAGCGAAAGAATTCCAATGAATAAACTCATGTTGCATTCCAAAAACCCCGGACTCCAGAGTTCGCGAGTGTTTGTTATTCACCGCCAGAGCTCCCGAGGATCCGGATGCAGCCCGTAGTAGAAGTACTGCGGAGTTAGACAGGAGGTCCCCCCTGAAGATTATCCTCCTCTATCGGTATATGTTTCGGATCGGATCATATCCATCGAGTTTGGAGTTCGAGCTCATCCCACCTAGATCCAAGATCCGCAACCTCGGAGTCCTTTCCCGTTCCGTTACCAACCACTCCCTTAGCTTTGTTCACTGCACCAGCTTTCCCAACGCGTCGTGAGTCGTTCTCAAACATTAGATTCGGATGTTCTACGGACGCCGAAAGCTGTCCGTCAAGTCAGGGCCAACCGAACTAATTTGACTTCTTTCTCCATTCACAGATTTCTTCGATCTCGAGAACTGCAACGAGTTTGGGAAATATAAGTGTCCGTACGATCATTGCGCCTACATCACCAATCGACGATTCCCGCTATCGCGGCATCTGCTCACGCACACGGGCGAGAAGCCGTTTCGGTGTTTACACTGTCACTACTCGTGTTCTAGGAAGGACGCTCTGAGCTCTCACATGGCTCGAAGACATCCGTTCACCCTCGACGGTTCCAGGGATCAGGAGGACTTTTCTCGGATTTTATCGTGAGCGACTGATAAGCGACTGACGGAGCACTGGGAAGCTCCCGGGAGGATAGTTCCTCTGTCGAATATCGCTCGCTGAGCTCTGCATTTGAGTTGGGGATTTAGGTAGCTAGCTTGGACGTTGTTCCGACCGTGTGAGATTTCGGGTGGTTTTTTGACCGAACTCCCATGATGCGCGATCCCCTATGTATGACATTAATCGGATTCACAACGACGCCGAGGATCTTCTCTCGACCATTGCAAACGCAAAGCGATCGTTGCCAGGTTTCATTCGAACCGTACCTGCGTTCGGATCGATATTGGTTGGATTGACAAAAAGCATTTAAACGAGGAGAGTTGTGAGGATTGACCAGGAGATACATGATTAAGTCGACGATTGCATCAAACTTTGGGAGTGTGATATCGGGATGAGTGCGAGCATTTATATTTGAGGTATTCCCCAGTTTTAGTTGAGCGCCCATAGAAGTTTTAGCGCAATTAGGAAAATCATTCCGGCAGCCGTCCGCATTTCGAGACTGGAATCGAAGGTTCGTTATTTTTTGTGATCCCGCTCTTCGGTCATTCTTATGCTCTTCAAAGGCGTTGGTCGCTGTGGCCAGATCCCGCGACCTCTCTTCATCCACTAATGAGCGGATTCGGTCTTTGAAGTTCGCGGAGAGCACAGCGCCGATGCCTGGGGTTACCGATAGCGATGAAGGAGTAGACCGTGATTATTTATTGCGTATAGGTAGTAGGCGATGTAAATCGCAGGCTGGTACGCGAATTGAGGCCTTCGTGATGGAGTTTCACGTGATGGAACAGATTTGTTTAGGCGAGGCTTCGTCGTTCATTTAGGGGAAACGGGAGACGCGAACGAAAGGGATAGGGGCAATATCATCGATCATATCTAGTCAGAGGTATTTGCGTCCGAGCGTACTCCGCTTCGGAGATTTGTGGAGGCTTCTCGGCCGAAGGGAGCCCATGTACGAAAATCTGTTCAAGATATTCTTTGCTATGAATGGACGTTATGAGAACAAAAGCAGTTTCCCAACGCTCTTGACCGCTTCGTTCGAGTAACTTAGCGCTAGTCATTTTGTTGAGGCTTCTGCGGAGGTCGGGCGCAACTAGCGGGCATAGTGCATTCGCGTTTGAACCATTCCTTTACGGCTTATTCAACCGTGGCGGCAACGACATACGAGACATAAGCAGCACTCCAACCACCAACCAATCTCTCTATACAGGAACAAGTAAACAAGAATCAGATATATGGACATCGCTTTTATATTAAGTATATTCCTACACATGTTGCATTTACTATTACCGATTGGATTCGACCGATATGACCTGCTTATCAAGAGCTTGATTCCGAAGGAACAATGGTCGTTCCGGAGGGGCTCATGGACCTGAACCATGAGCCGAAAAGCATCGTGGAAGAATGAATAAAAGTTTGGATCTGAAAATTTCACGCGGCGTTTTTCCATGAGTGGGTTTCGACATTGAGCCCGAGAACCATCAGCGCGAGAAAAAATGGAGAGCCAGACTAACGTATCGAATCTTTCAGAGAATACCGTTTGGGATCTGGATTGGAAACGGCGGACCACTCCGCTCCAGGCAGGGCCTTCATGAATGAGAGACGCTCCGTCGGGATTCGTGTGACCGCCTCCTTCACTGGATCCACGGAGAGTGTCCCCCACCCTCCGCATTAGATCCCGTCAGTCAGCCAGGGATGTAATGCTCACCAACGGAATCTCCGAGCTCGTTCTCAATAAAAAAAAACCGCGTACATCTCGCATACAGTTCATGATCATCCTGTATAACTCCCTGCAAACTACTATCCATTTCGGAGCACAAAAACTCACCCATCTCACGTAAACTTCATCTGGTGACGGTGGAAATGGTGCAGTCGTGATTGACGGATCCGCGCACGAGTCGACCATCACAAGCGAATGGTTTACTCAGGTTCTCCGAAAAGATTCTGATTTACTGTATCCTTCCAGGTTGGGCGTTTATGTCAACCGTGCAATCGCTATTCGAGTTGGAAGAAAAACGCTTCCGATGTTCTCACTGTCCGTACCAGACGAATGATGTCGGCAACTTCCGTCGACATGAATTGATACACAGTGGCACGAAACCTTTCAAGTGCGTTCTATGTGATTTCCGATCGGCTTGGCGAAAGTCCATCAAATCGCATATGATCAACGTTCACAAAACACTCGAATAGTCGGTCGTCTTCTCCCGGCTGAAGGAGGACCGCGATCAGCTAGGTGGAATTTGAACTTCGTGATAGATTCGTGAATTTCGTAGCTCCCGTTGTTTCTCGAGAAAGACAACAATGCCTAGGGTCCCCTAACGGTATGAGTTGATAGAGGACCGCCAAGGTCCCAACAAGCTTCTCTTGGAGGAGACGATCGGAGTGAAACTTCGGGGGGATCCCGGTCTGCAATCATAGCTGTGATGCAGATGAACTTGAGAAACACGGGAGCGGACAGGCACGAGACTGACGAACAAAATCGGATTTTTCTACATACAACGACGACTGCATGTTATGCCGGTCATTATTTATTGAATTGAAATCGGATTATCATACAAACATTTATATTTATCATAATCTCATATCCATAGATGTATATCGATCATATCGATGAAGAATCTGCAAACCTACGCGAAGCCCTCACGAATGTGAAACGTATCATTAATATATACATGCATCCACACAGCAGATACCTGCATAAAGTGCAATACATATATTCTTACCGGAATCATAACATAGCGAGCGAACTACAGACATCTACGTGATTGCTCGATCCAGCTTCGAGATAATTGTTCTTCTCGATTCTGTGTGAGAGCGGAACGAATCAATTTTGAGGGAAACGGTGGAAGCATCGACGATATTTTACATTTGTAAACTTGTAGACTGATGTATGCATCGCGTTATCTGCGTAAAACGGTGAAGACTCTCAGCGCCTTTTGCGGAGTCCCCTCCTTATGAGCCTTAGCACACATGGATCCGACTCGGATCGGTGTGCCTCAAGTACAACTATATACTCTGATCTCTAAAGCACTCGGAAGCATTCTTTTCTCACCACGCTGAGCCTTTTCACTCAGCGTGCCCTCTGTCGATCAGGAACGTTTTTCATCAAGCTACCTCATTGTACTCCAATCATATTCACGCGGTTTCCCGCTAATCCATCGATTGTAGAAATTCATCAGGCCGGCTTGTTGATTGAGCCAATGCGGCAACATATGCGACGAGATCCAGAATGCTGTAGCCAAGCGATAATGACTTCGATTAAGCCGAAGAATCGCTGGGAGCTGTTTCGTTTTGGAGATTTGAATTGAAAGCTGAAGCGGATGATGGCGACGTCGATGAATGATGATACGACGAAGTTCCTTCCGATTAGCCCTTACATTCCGCGAATGCCCGCGGGAAGTGTTCGACGTCACTGGGCGAACACGAGATCAAAGTTTTGAGCTCTTCGTCGTTCTCATCCGCAGCGGTGTAATGTGATCTACCAACTTGTGATTTTGCTGCGCTTATCCAGATTCTTACGTATACCCCAGCGGGGGTTCGGCCTTCGACATGAAGACAATCGTTCTCCAAAAAGACTTCTCCGAAAATACCACGACGTGAATCTCTGAGCAGAACCCCAATGTATCGTAACACCATCTTCGTTTTTCATTGTGCAGTAGCATCATTGCTCTCATCTATCCATCCACCGGAAACTCAATCCATCAACGAATCCATCGAATGCCCGACCGGGCTCTACCTGTTCATTTATTTGGCACCCGACCTCCTCCTACCTTGCTTTCCAAGGAGCTGCCTTTCCACTTGCTGTGAGTCCGCTGGTATCTTTTGCCGAATCGAGACGGATAGTCTCCAGCATTCAGATAAGAAATTGATAGGTCAACGTTGGACGATAAGATACTTATACGCATATGGAATATATATTTTTATAACACTGGATTCCGGATATCATGTATCACCTGCATCCAGATTGCGGCACCTACATTCTGAAATGTTCGAGGAATCGGAGCATTAGAACTCCGATTCCCATGATGACTTCATGTGCAATATTTTCCCGGAATACGGGCTCCGTTAGAAAACCCCTCCTACGTGAAATCTACACCGAACCCTCAACAATCAAACCATACAGATGGAGCGATTCCGTTTAACGACTTTTCCACAGTTATAGCTTTCCTACCCGCGTGTACGTAGGTACGTGGACGCCCATCCAACTATCTACCGGTCAGCCGACCCGGTGATCTTGTCCATTGAGATTACACATCATCAGACGTCGTACTTCATTGATTTAACTCTCAGATGTATACACCACGGTTCTCATGATGAACAAAAATCATTTCTGGTTGAATCGACTGATTACAGTTTTTTCTTGTTGTTATATGACATCCAAAATTGTATAATTCTCTCAGAACCGATGTCTCGGAACGGAGCGCTGACCAGAAGACCAAACGAAGGATACGAGTTGCGTATCCCATTAATAGGTTGTTCGATGAAGTATTTTTGACGTGAGTTCAAATCCGTCTACTGTCTCTGGATCCTGTCCTTGACTCTTCGGCGGCATTCAGTGTTTCCGCGGACCTTCCTGCGGCGTTGGTGTCCGACGAAGTTCCACATCGCTGTGTTCTGTAGAGGTTCTGTGCGTGTACATATGTACTACGAGGACCAGTGGTGCGTGCGATCCGTCGTTCTCTGGTTTGTCGAGACAGATCCAAGCAAACTGTATTCGTCTGTAAACTGTCTGTTAATCAAATTATACACTCTCGATCTGAATCTTGGTAGATGGAGCATGCGACCAACAAATAAATCGTGGAACCTACTATTCAAACACACTCGTTCTCCTTCGCCTCAGCCCGACCCAGACGCCGATTAACCAGTCCCTATGATTTCCCGGATCCGGGGTTCTTATATCGATACTTCCTTGCTGACAGCCGCTAAACCGAAGAAATTCGTTTGTTCCTTCCAGAATACATGTTACTCAACTGTCGGCTCGTTCGCTGTCCGAAGTGCACGTTCATCACAACTTCGAAAGCCGATCTTCTGAAGCACGCAAAAACCCAGCACCCCATAAAGGAGAATCTGCCCATCTTAGTCCCTCGTAGTTCTAGGAGGAATACCAGTCCTTCACTTCAAGCGGGTCAGTCGAATTCAATGACAGCGACCTCACACGCTTCGCCGTTACTTGTAACGTCGACCGGAGATTTCGTCGCCTGTCGGTTCTGTGATTTCCACGGGGAGGAACAATCAGTTCGATTCCACGAACAGGTTGTCCATATGATCTATGAAGCGCCCAAAATAAGTGCAAGTATCCTCGATTAGTTGAACATACAGGCTCCTCCCGTTCTGGGACTCGTCTCATTGTAAAACGGAGCTACGATCGAGAGTGATATTAAACAGAGCTGATTACCGACCGTGGTCACGGAGCCCTGTGAGTACGCGTGCTCAGTGCTAATGGTGATCAATGCATTTAATTGAATGAATGAGTAAATAAATAAATCTACATTTTATACTGAGAGAGAGGAGTCCGTCTTCGTACATATGTCAAAGGTCATAAGGATTATGTTGTCATCCCCATGAGTGATTCTGGAATCTCACCGGGGAAGTGAAAAATAAATGGTTGGACGCCACAGTAACTGATTGGAATTTCTTCATTTCAGAGCCCTCCACGATCCATGATCAAGGGTCCTTCCTGAAGCATGCTCGAGAAACTTTCGGGTGGAAACAGAAGACCGCGCACCTCTCTCTACGCTGACAGAGGATTGATTCAATAAACATACGAGGGCAATGAGGAGCATGCGGAGGAGGACAAAGGTCCGACCGAGGATGGCGACTATCCCCGGATACTCATGGGTAGACTGTATTTCTCATTCGAAGATGTGTTATCGCCCGGAATTTTCCCGCTCGGCGGTATCCGACTGGCCTACCCGATCGGCGTAGTGAGGCGCGCTGGCCCCTTACATCCTGGACAGGGACGAAGTGAGTTGAGAGGCATCGGAATGAAATGCCAACCCTCGGTCGATGGAGCTGAGGTCTATGATCCCATCTGATGGCGAGTCTCTTCTTGCAGCTCCAGTATCGTTCTCCGCGTCAGGTATATGGCGAGCGAGGAAGAGCCGGTACGCTCCGATCTGGCAGTTCTTCACGAGGCTGAGTCCAGACAACGCTCAATGTAACCAGTGCGCGAAAATTGTGAAAACTCCGAATTCCGGAACGACCGGTCTGCTGTTCCACCGGAAGCGTCACTTAGCGGAAGAGTAAGCTAGACAGATATCTGACTACTTCATGTCATCTGAGACGAATCGCTTCGCTTGCATATTTTACTTATCGCATTCGTCGAACGATTTTAGGCTTGCTCCTCCGAACTATTGAAGAGCGTGGTTCTTCATCGAAGTCACTTCTTGATCTCTGGAAGCATCACTTCCTCGGCCCTGCCGATTGAAAGTAATCCGAAGGGATGCTTTCACGGAGGAGTGGAGGGTGTTCCACGGTGTTCGTTTGAACTCATCTACCCGGTGCGCGAAGGGAGCGCATCCCGGCTCGGCCAAGTACTCTCAAGACTCAGAGTCTCACGCAGGACTCATTGTTAGAACGATTCGTCGACATTCTCTGAAGCATAGGTATATGTAAGATCTGACGATGGTAGAAAAGCTGTGTATTTTGGGGAGTCGGCGCAGAGCGTCCGAGAGGGGGTCCCGCCTCAAACTTAGTCATTGAGGAATAAAGTTGCGTGATCAAGTCAAGGAGGGCTCTACTTTCATCCACCGTGAGAGCTTTGAGGGTCACCGTCTCTTGTTGTCATCAAGGAAAAATTCATCGTCTGAGGAACATGAGCTTCATGAGACTCGAAATTGCTCCCTCGCCATCACATCTAACACCAGAATTCTTCTTGCAGACTGTCGACCTCTCGGAAGTAGGAATCTCAGCTTTCAATGAGAAAGCTTAGCTGCCAAGACTCGGTCTATCGTTTACTCTCATCTTGTGGTTCCGAATCAAGTGAGCTGCATTGAGTGACATCTACCGCCGTGTGCAATAAAGCATTGTGTCTGTGTTCGACTGCATAGTTTGCCGTGGAGTGATTCATTCTACAATTTCTGCACGCGACCTCGGGATCTTTCCGGTGATGTGTTTACTCATAAACTCCACTTGCGGAATGATGACGATGGGAACTCTCCATCAGCTCTCTCTCCTTTCATCTACTGGTTTCCTGCTCGTTTATATTCCTGCTCTGAGGATTGCGACTAACAAGAAGCTACCGAAGGCAGCGCCCTGCTGCTGCAGCTGTTCGAACTGACTGACTGACCGATTGACTGACCGATCGAAGGATCGATCGACCGACCGACTTCAAATCCTCAAATGAGTCCATGTGTTTCTACAGAGATGATGCTGTCACTGCTGTCCATGATTCCCGGCCAAGGTCCACCCCCTCCGCAAGCATCGGATGAAGTGCATTACATTCCGTTTGAAGGAGGATACAAATGTAAACATTGCAGTTACTGCGCCCCGCATCGCAATCTCGTCGTACGCCATGCCCGAACGCATACCGGGGAGCGACCGTACGGCTGCAACTATTGTCAATATCGCTCATCTCGTCTGGACAACATGCGAACACACTCTTACAAGTGCGCGGAGAAACGCCAGAAGAGAAATTTAGGTGTAATGAAAGGCCTGAACAATCCTCACAATCCCACGCTAAGCGGACTCTTGTCGACACCAGTGCTCACGGTTTCCGTTGACAAAAGTCGCCGCGAGCTCGAATACGAGCAACCGTCGCTGAGCATTTTACCCTTGCCTCAAGACCTCAATGACGCTGTTCTGCCTAGTATCGAAGGTCTACAGTACGAGGACTGAAATTCAAGAGAATCCAACTTGAATGTCGGAGTTCGCACGTCAGCAGCCAGTATTCGAAACTAACGAATAGTGTACTCGAGAGGCCCCCGAACTTTTTCGGTGCCGGCGGCAAGTCTGGAGACCTCTGGATTATACAAACATTCACTAACGACTTCGAGCCAGGGGGTCAATAGCTGAATGAACTCAAAGGAGACGTAGTAAACGATGAAGTGCAATAGCAACGTTATAGGTAGAGCCCCTTTACATTTTTTTCCAACCCCAGCTCCCTTCGCAGTTCTCTAATCGCAATTTTTAGGCCTAAGTTATAATACTAGTAGTAATGTGTAGGGTAATGAATGTGTGAAACGGCATGGGTGATACTCGTCAGTCTTTCGACCTTCGTGCCGTAGGCGAAGGTCACCCGATCTACTCTTGTGATTCAATGCTCACCGTGGTGAAGGTCGCGTGGGACTTTGCTGCTGATGTCTGACGGGACGAGCTGCTCAACGTTATATCAAGGTATCGTTGGTAGATTTTTATTTCCGCTCCACACAATCTCAACGGATAAGTTCTCTCCGAACAGAGTCGGCAAAGTCTAGCGCGTGTTTCCAGTTATTAACATTTTTCGGTATACAAGGATATTATGAACAAATAACTCATTCATAGAACGAATCGACGAACACTCTCTACAAATATACAGCAGACGAACGAATACACACTCTTCCCACACGAAACACACGAATGGGGCGAAGCGGACCCTATACGTTCAAAGGGTATTAATTATTGTCAAATGGCGTCCAGATCGATGGCATTTCTAGAAGGAGACAAGAAATGGATGACTCAACGAAAGATTGGAACATCGAGCTGAAGATCCGGAAATTTAGGGAACGAAGCTGTTCTCAACTCTTGACACGACTCTAAACACAATCATACTCAGAAAACACTGAAACCACGTTCACATACATGTATCAATGGCAATGCTCAGAGTGTCGTCGACGTTCGCTTTTGAAGTCGGACGATGGCTCAGTCCTCTTTTCTTGGAGGGCCTCTTTTGAATTCCTTGTTGTGTAACTGTGTTTGTTCTCCTGTCGCTCACTCACTATTGTGGTAAGGACAACCTCAACGGCCCCCTTCTGCCAACGGAGGGTCGTTTCCTGTGAGTCGCCTCCTCATGAAGCCTTTCTGTGCCGTCTCGCTATGGAACGGATATTCGGATCGCATTCCTTTTTCGAGGAAGTTCTCGGAAGCGACGGTCGCAGAGAGGGGAAATGGCGAGGAAGACTCGAAGGGTCCGGGTATCCCGACGGTTTCGTTTGTCCACCAGCCCTACCTTAGCCTTCGTAGGTAGCTCTTTTCCGAAATGCTCATTACATTCCTTGCCGCGATCAACCGCAATTTTCAAGGGTTCATCCGAGGGCTTTTCTCTCAACTCAACGGAACGAATCAGGTGAATGCCTATCCCACCGAGCGGTGGGGTAGACGTCAGAGATCGTTCCGGCAAACTGTATCGAATCCGAATCCAACGCTATAACAAACAGACTCAAACAACACACAGCACTGAGACTCAGCCTGTGGGGAATCTCAATCATTCGTTAATTTATAATTTTCATCGAAATATCAGTGCAATCATAAGCATATTGTAAGAATGATAATAATATTTAAATAGACACAGGCAAGAGAAGCGTTTCTTGTGATCCGCGTTATCGATGAGGATGTTGTAAAGCAGATTCTGCCGACCGATATAGTTCAGAGTTTATGTTAATGTATCGAAGCGAGCTTGCCAGGGGTAGACGATTTTTGGACAATGTGCCCTCGGTTAACCTGATTCACCGTTTTCCCTCTAGTAACTCTATGAACTTGCGCACGGTTTGATGGATGAAGAGAATTCATTATTCATATTTTTTCTACAACGTGAACGTTTCACCACAAGTCTAACAGGACCGTGTAACGGGATCTACTGACCAACCGACCGATTGACTGACTGATTGACTGATGTTCGACTATGAGGTCGCTCGTATATCTGTTTGAATGGTAACTGAGTGACTGATGATCGACCGACCGATAGATGACTTTCTAACACAGTGCAATGGCCTAGCGAAGGCCGCGAGAACCGACATATCGATACCGAAAAAAGGACAAAGGAGCAAGAAAGAAGCATCCAGAATTCAGGCAGTCAATTCCCGGTTCGAACAAATCGTCGTCAGGTGTGAATCGTTTCCCTAACTCAAACTCAAAGCGACGGCATAAACTCTGATCAAGGGAAAGTTTCCCTCAATCATAATATATACATTTACATACTATAAAAAATGATCTTTACCATCACATGGTGACGATCAGTACAGAACTTTGAATAAAACTATTTATTTTCTAACAAACATAAATACCGCGGCGTTCTGATTTTGTCTAGGTATGTGGGTAATGTAGAGCGAACACGGAGATCTCATAAACACGCGATCTCATTTGAAACTCTTCGCGGATCGGCTTCAGGGAAATCATTGAAGTTCCGTGTTGGAATGGTGCGAGACGTATACCATCTACAGGCGCGACTCATGGTCCCCTTCTATTGCAGCACTGCAGCATCGGAAGCAAACAGTGTAACCTCCTGAGCTTCATCCTTCCCCGGGAACGCTCGTCCAAGCGGCGCGGTCACTCTCGTGACGGATGTACATCCATCGACCGTCCGTTACCTCCGTCTACGTCTACGGTCACCCGCCAGGGGGACCTAACTCGCGGAGAAGGAGTGAGGGAATCTCGACCTCGTCCATTCTCCCGATTCGCTCCCCGTTTGTGGCCAGAGCAGCGGGTCGGCAGAACACCGATCGGCTAGGCAACCTTGATTCGAACTGCGGAATTGACATTCTCCTGCATGTCAATAAAGGCCTCGGTTGTGCGGATGTGGTTTTCATTCTCGCTACGGACACCCCCATCGCTTAGGGCTGCCAGGTAAATTTACGCAAATCTTCCTTTTTGGAGCTCTGCTGACTTCGTGTTCCTCTTCCAGAGTCCTCATGCTCGGTCCCTTGCGATGATGTTTCCCGGGAAGCAGGGGTCGCACAAGATATTCTCTCAACACCGCCGTCTTCCCCCGGGCATTCCCATTCATCTGGAGTTCCGTCACCTGCGCACTTGCCCTTAAACGTTGATGAAACTGCGATGTGGCACAAAGTGTTTGATCCTCAAGCTCCCTCAGCGGTCCCAGTTCCGCCGGCTCATCAGACGCGAATCGAACATTCTCAGGTGTATCCAGCGCCGACGTCTCCGCCTTCCTCGCCTCCTCAGATCACTCCCCTTTCTCTGACGAAACAGAACGAAGATCGTCCACCCGTTATAACGCATTCAGTCATCTTCCATGACGAGCGGAAAGGGGCTTTCCAGGCCGTTCGAGCCTCGAAACTCATGGGGTCGCTCCACATACCAGTTGTGCCTGCTGTACAAATGCCATCGGTTATCATTCCATTGAATTCAACCGTGGGAGCCTCGACGGCTCCCTCTAATTTGGCCCCGCTCTCGGTTCCAGAAGCGGCAGCTGAAGAGCCGCTCGCTGCCCCGGTCCACACAGTGCACCGCCCCACTCCCACCAGGGTGGTTGGGATGGCCGGTCCGTCGAATTCGTCGAATGTCCCTCCCTCCCAGCTGATCGCGCGCCGAATGCGGGCAGGCGCAACTTTGACAGGGTCTTTCACCCGAAAGCCATGTCCTTATTGTGTGAACAAGAGTTTTCCTTCGTATAAGGATTTAGAGCGTCATCTGCGAACGCACACTGGAGAGCGGCCGTATCCTTGCAATCTCTGCGATTATCGGGCGAGACAGCGGGGTGCTCTCCGAAACCACATGTCGAAGAAACATGGCGTTCAGATGCCCCCTCTGCCCCCAGTCTGAGAATCTTGAGAAACGGAGGCGGCATAGGATCGAGTCAGGGCTACGATCAGAGCGAGCCTTCGGTCTGAGGGCGACCGCTCCGGCACCTCCGGAGCCTCAGGCACCTGGGAGGGATAATCTCCGATAAGGTGACAAAAGGTCCAAAGGTTTCCGCCGTTGACAAGTTGGTGAGACGACGGAAAACCTCGTAGAAGAGCCTCCGTGCCCCGAATGCATTCGTGGAGAATTCGGTGCCTTGCAGGGATCGCGAAGATCAGCCCATTTTCTACGGAGCCCACTCCTCGCGCGCCCGGAGGGAGCAAGCTCACTGTTTCTGGTCGATGGGGAAAGTATCTCTCGTACGAAAAGTCGAATACCATTATTTCCGTGATTCCCAGATGGGGTTCAGGAATGCATCCTTTTGGACGCCCTCTGATTCGCTACGAAGGGAGGGAAGGGGGCAATCGACGCCGACATCAAGTCAATGATGCGATTCTACTCCTAGAATACGTTGAGCGTCGTTCTGCTTTGCCTTCGTTTAGATGTTGCCGTTATTAACTTCTGCTCGTTCTCTCTTTGCTGCGTAGGTAGTAATTGAAGCTAGTCCAGAAGAGAGCATTCAGCGGAAACGGAAGGGGGTTCTGAAATATGCATGAATGACAAATTATATTATATCATGCGATGCATTCCATGTTGCTATGACCCCTAGCGGGATTTGCGATTTCCTCATGCTCCTGTTAATTATGATATGATCACCACTGATGCTGCTCTTTGGTGTAGAGTTAGATCGAGTGTGCCGACGTGAAAACCAGCGCCTTGGGACTGTGCTGAATATCGCAAAAAATCTTTATTACCTCTCGTACAAAGAAAAATATTATATTTCTACATGTCTTGTGGGATGGCGGATCACCCGCACCTGGAGTAGTCTGAGTGCATCATTTTTCCGATGCCACGGGGAACTCTGCGGGGGAGCATGCTCCCGGAGGAAGGGAGTATCACTCGCAGAGATACCCGCTGATGAACGTACGTGATATACGTGACGGCAGCTCTGATTCACCTGGAGATCTCAAGAAGTTGGGTATTCAGCGAAGCTCCGTCGAATAGCAACGGCATGAGCGGACAAGGTTCCGAAGCAACGGTCGGAATAGCTGACTCCGTCAGCGTAAGAATGGGGACCGTGCAGAATTCGGGGAGTCGACTCATCAATTTTATAATGCTCGAATCCGATCCGAGATTCTGTCCCGGAGCTCATCTGAGCAGATCGATGAGGTCTCAGAGGCTCGGTATTGCAGGAAGAGTTTTATACGAGATATCGAGACATATGTACGGGAATGGAAGAAAATGAATAAATTGTCACTCATGTTCCGCACAGCGTTCGTGGGCCCGTTCGTAGTTATTTGATGATGCATGCGATTCTCATGAGCCTCCGTCACCGCATTCTTCGATGGTGATGTCGGTCGGAGCTCTCTTCAATCATCTTGCGAATTTTCCTGGTTTCTCACCGAATATTTTCCGATGCTCATTTGGACGAGGACAACAGATGCGATCAGAGGTTTCGAAGTCGTTCGATACACAATTATTCGAGGTGCTCCGTCCTGGAGATCAATTAAATGATGATTCTCAATATTTTCAGACTTCTCGCTACCGTTGGATCTTCTGAACAACATCGCCAACATACCATCTTTCGCTTTCCCACCGCTTCCGCAGTCATCCCGCCTGCTCAATATCTCTGCGACGGTGCCCTCAGGCGCAACTTCGGCGTCATCATCGACACCTGCTCGGAAGCATTCTTGTGAAATTTGCTCGAAGCCTTTCCAATCTCCGAGTCATCTCAGGTAGGTTCAATCACGAGAGCGGCCAACTGGAAAGTTTTACGTATCGGCTCCCGATGGGGATTTTCCGAATCGAGGAATTCGGTTTGAGACCGAACTAGTTTTCGATCGCGAGCAATTTTTACAGAATTCATATGCGAAGCCATACTGGAGAAAGACCCTACCCTTGCAACCTCTGCGACTACCGAGCCACCCAACAAGGAGCCTTGAAGAAGCATGTTGAAGGCATTCATAATAAACCGTCCCAGTCATACGTTCCCTTCGGTGGCTACCACGGGCAGCTCCCGGACTTCTCTTGATTCATCCGAAGGATAACCAGGGGTCGCCCTCCACATCTCCGATTCGAGACGAAAACACATTATGTGACCAAAGATGCATATATTCCTACGAGAAGAGTCATACAAGCACCTAGACATATAAGGTTATCGCACGGAGTGAATCACCCGATGCTGACGCATCCCCTGAGAGTATTCGCCGAGTGGTTTCAATTTTAGAATACGTCGATCGTTTTGACGAGAGACTCGAATGATAGCACCATGGAAATGAGCTCCGGATCCATAGAATCTCATGCGAGCCTGCCTATCCACTACGATCAGCCTCCCTTTTGTGACAGAGTTTCTGCCTCACCCAGACGTGGGTCGACCATTCTGGCTCCCCTGAGGGCTCTCCTCCGCCGCCGGAAAACGTTGAACCTTCATTCGATATTTCCAAAGCGGTTTTTCACCGTCGATACGAGCTCCTAGAAACATTGGAAATGACTGAGATTGGTTCGTGAAATAAGAGTTCCGGCTGCAGGTCCGGAACTCTGGTACGGGAAACTGATCAGGTCTGATATCGCCAGATCCCCGCTGGAAAAGAAATCAAGACTGGATTCGGTGGAGCTTCGCACCTGAACCCCTCTTCCTAAAGGAATCGAATTGAACATACGAGGGAACCTAAGGCATCTGCTCGAAATCGAAATTAGAGACCGTGGCGCCGATGTGGATACCAAGTAATCAGGTTTTGGCAACTGGCAACTATATTTCGAGTCTGCCGGACTGATCTCGTTCGATTGACCTACCTCTGTACAAATAATTGCGGTCATAGTAGTTTATGACCGGGTTCATCTCGCGTTTCACGGGTCACAAGACGCCTCGCTACTGAGCGATGGCCAGAACTATTTTCAAGTTCCTAAAAGTTATCAGATCAAGTCGATCTGCTCTATGTATCCTATGGATGGCTCGCCTTTGTACATCGTGATTGATATTTTACTAGGATCTATTTCTGAACGTGTTTGTAGGGTTGGGCTCCTCGCGTTGTGTCGAGTTACTTGGGAGATACCTCCCGTTGAAGAGCCCGTTGAAGAGAAACCTAACCGCATAGGTATAGTTCCAAGCCTAAAGCGACTATCATTGTCTTCGATTCGGAACAGCTTCCCCCTCCCCACGTCGCCGTCGCCTGCATTTATGACAACTAGTGAAAAGCGAGGGCTTCGTCAGAGATCAGAGCCTTGCGGAATGTCCCGCGCTGCCTAGATCAGGGCAAATGAGACAGAAGGCTGCCAAAAATCTTTGCCATAGCGGCCACTGTTGCCAATGACTCCTGGTGGCCGAAGGACGGAGCGACGAACCAAAAAAGGACCCCTTCCTCGCCCTAAGTCACAATTCGACTCGATAGCGATAGAGTTCGACATTATTGCCATACATTCTCCCAATCTTGTAACTTCTGTAAAAAAAGCTGACGCGGAGATCGGAAAGACACTTGAAAACATCCAAGCCTATGTTAAGACGTTCTTCAGAAATAAACGATATTTTTTCACCTGGTAGTCCTCGATCGCTCTGAGAGGGAAGCGAAACCCCTGAGAGCTCATGCCCCTCAATTGGAACTGAAGTCGTCGATAGTATCTTGAGTAGTTCAGATTAAGAGATTTAACCCGTCGTATCGTTTCAGATAACTCGCCGATAGGATCGTAAGGACTAAGCCGCCCGCAGACATTGTCTGAATAAAAAAGCCTTCTTTTCACTCAGAGGACCCGCGGATTTTTCAAATTTGGTCTCGCGTCGAAGTGTTGCTTACGCCTTTTTGTTGGAGATGCCCCAGCTAGCGCAAGAAAAAAAAATTGTCCTGAATCATATAAGCTGACTTCCATTACAGAAGCTTGCAGCATCGAAAGTCTGATCTCTGATGACGGAAAGGGCTGTCTCTTGTGCCAGAAACCGTTCCCGTCCGGTGCCCACCTGAGAATTCATCTGCGGATCCATACTGGCGAGCGGCCGTACAGTTGCCCGCACTGCGACTATCGAGCGAAACAAAGTGGCCATCTGAAGAACCACCTAATTCGCACGCATCCGGAGAAGCCGATTGTCGTCACAAGGAGTGATGAGAACTATGTGCAGGCGCTACGTAGGTTGCTGTAAGCGATACTAGTCACCGGGGGTTCTCCGTAACAACCAAAAATCCAGAACGTGATCGATCAGAGCTGTACACGGTCACTTTTCATCACGTGATATACATGATGCGACCTCTACGCATCTTTGCGCATCTAAAGACCAAAAGAATAACCCAAATCGGAATCGACATGAGTTGGCGAGCAGTATTCTAAGCTTTGTAAATAGTCTGATGTGAGCCATTGTTTGGGATTCGAGCAGCTGCGATCAGTCCGGAATCCTGCGAGTTTATATGAACGAAAATCTGTGGTAGCGTCGAGCATCCGGCTTCTCGAGCGAAGACGACTCCATACCAGCAGTCACAAAAAGTCAAGACGTCGTACCGCTCTCGTGTGACCAAAAGACGACCTATGAAATTATTGTTTTCTCGAGAGGGGAAAAGACACCCTGTCAGAACTTTGAGCTTTTCGTTAGTCACTCGAAGTTGTAATATATATCGGAATAAAGTTGAACTGGGAACTTCTCGAGCCTCCTTTCCGACCTTCATCATATGAACTCCATCCATTTGGAGACCTCGATACCCTTCTTCACTAATCGATCCTTTCCTTACAGAGCTGCGTGAAGGGAGCACCAAAGGATTGCAAGGCGCCAGTTTTTCCCCTACTCATGGGAAGATATCTTTCGAATAAAAACAGTTGGGGCCGGCGAGTAGTCTTAGTGCCCGACCCTGAGTGGCAGGGCTTTGACACCGAATTCGAACGGATCAGAACTCCATATGAATATCTCAGATGGTTTTTCAGAGGACACTAGTCTAACCTTCCTTGTTCCAACAGGCTTTTCGTTCAGAACTCGGGACTCGGATAAGCAGAAGGAAAACCTGGAGCGAGGTGAACGACCTGTTTGTTCGATCTGCGGAAAGGACTTCTCCACAACGTGGCATATGCGAGTACACATGCGGGGTCACACCAATGAAAGACCGTATCCTTGCACGATCTGCGAGAAAGCCTTCCTGCGCTCAGATCATCTCTGCCGCCATGTTCGCAATGTCCACAAGATTGATCCCAAAGATGTCTCCTGGCTGATGCAGAGCTTCGAGGAGGAATGCCAGTCCTTAGCTATAGCTGCTCTGAAGTAAAATACCGAATATCGAAATCCAGTTCCCTAGACCTAGACAGCATTTTCTAGATAATTGTGTAGCAGGGTCTCCTTGTGCCCCAGATTCAGTTCATCATCGTGCAAAATGATATTCGTTCTCGGGAAATGAGCTCTCTCTGATATCAAACTTTGTGGCAATGTTGCCGCCGCAATATTTCGATTTAATGAATATTAGGATAATGATTATATGACTGCGGAGTGCAGTGTCTACCTAATATATATGGAGTATCGTATCATTGACATGGAACCCCCACCTCTATAGAATATCGAAAGTCATTGTCATTATTAATATTATTGATTATTACTATCATCATTATAGGGAGAAATCAAGAGTAAACTCCCTCTCGGTGTTCGAATTGAGCATAGGTGAATGACTATTCAAAGCAACCACTGTGAGTTCTTCTGAGAACCAACTGACCCCCTCGTGAATAAATCTTTATCTCAACCCGGAACCAATTGTCGTGTTGCCTCCTTCGTTTGCTCCCAAGAATTATAGTCATATTATTGCTCTGGCTGCTGTCACTTCGTAGGTCCGATTGCGGGGAGCTCGGTCCGAAGCGAGTCTCCAGCGTTCCTCCGCTGAATCATGAAATTGTTTGAATCATTCGTTTCTCGAGTATTTTCCTCCTCTCATCAGAACAACGAATTCGTCACGATCTAGTCTCGGACTCTAATTGCACTTGATTGATGATCGAGACATCATTGAAATGGATTTCCTTCCAGAACTCGGTCGGCGGAGAACTCCTTCCGGGCTGCAAGCACGCTGGATCTCGATAGCGAATGTATTCAGAAGGCTCAGGAGAGTGTTGTCGACCTGAAGTCTAGGAACGTGCCAATAAAGGAATCCACTGATCGTAGCTGACCTTGAAAATATTCTTGCAAGAAACTTTTCCAATCATGGAAACTTGCGGAATTCCCTCCAGAGACGCCGCCTCTGTTTCCGCGGAACCTATGTCTCTATCCTCGCTACGAAAGCCCCCTAATCCCTTGTATTGACGGACTTCCTGTCGTTTCGTATGCCTCCTGGGCTCTGGAATCATTTCCTCCGACTCCCTTGCCGGAAGTCCTCGCCGTGTACCCGATAATGAAGCTCATCTTCGTGTCTGCAGATTCCGGGGGATATGAACCGCCCTACATGCTTTACGAAGTCGACAAGTACACGTGCGAATTCTGTTTCGCTCGATTCCCCACTCCATCTAGTGCTACAACCCACCGGCGAATCCACACCAATGAAAAACCCTTTGCGTGTCCCTGCTGTGACTACCGCTCTACTCAGAAAGGCAACCTCAAGGCTCACATGCAACGACACCACAAGAATTTTCGACCCTCCACGTGATATTGGGCCATTGCAATTAAACATATCAATCTCGAAAGACGCGAAGGCCTGCAAGATCGTACGAGTCATAGGTATCTGTGATCCCCAGTGTGCAGTCTCAATGTGTTCTGGAACCGAATTGTTTTGCCTCGTTATGTTTTGTACATTTTATCGATCTCACAGCTCATAAGCTGTTTTGAGCGGACTTCATTGTAAGATACTCAGATGAAACCTATATTCCCTCCTCGCCATTGAGGAAACAGAGACTATTGATTGAGCCGAGGAGACTTGAATCGTTATAAAATGAAGGAGATTCAACATGTTCTATACTTCCGACGTCATAATTTCTAGTACGAACGCAATTACCATGCTTTCAGAGCGGCAGGCAGTCGGAATCAATATTTTTTTTTGTTGAGCTCAGCGGAAGCATTCGACGGCCACGCATCCGGGGATTCGAATGGAGGCGAGTTGCCCGAGATGATATTCGAGGTCGATAAGTGTATAGTTTGCTCGATTCCCGACTTTCGATAGCCCAGAAGGCGCCGCGCCGCGAACCAGCCTGGATCGGAGGCCGCGGATCAAGTCCAAAACTCTCAGAATGAGTTTCGTGGGGACTTCCCCGCAGCTCGAATCAGGTGTAGCGCAAGAATGGGGGCATGAGAGCCAAACAGGATCACCTCGATCTTCCTTCCGTCAGCTAACTTCAAGGGGCCATTGTAGATCTCATCTTCCTCATTCGAGGTTTTGTCTGCATAAGATGGACTTCTTGGATGCATATTCTATCGGCCAATAATGCACCGGTTCACTCATCAGTTCCGCCGACGCGACGTCTGCAAACCGCGATCTAGTCAATGCAAGTTTCATATGCCGCGTTCCTCCTTGCTCGCGTCAATACCTTTCTGTCGACAGCCGTCTGTCTGCACAGAGACGACCGGGATCGGAAATCGGTGCGATCAGACAATGGGTGATTTACGCGCCTCCTTCCAGCCGCATGACACGCGAGATCACGATCTCAATTTCTTTGTTTGCGCCGAGGTAGGATTTAGCGAGACAATTCCTCCGCAGTATTCATTTCGAATGAATTCAAAATGATTACCTAATTAAGGCGCGCACTCCTGGATTCCTGGCGAGATTTGTCTAATCAGTGTTGAGCTCAGAAAAGGTCTGACTCCAATCTTTAGCCATCAGCCCTCGAAGTTCTTGGGGCGTCTGGAGAAGACCGTGGGATCGTCGTCATGGAATGAGGCACCGTAATAAAATTATCCTGATCTAACTCGTCAGAGGAGCTCCCGCGGAAATCGATCGTCAGAATATATCCCTGAGAGAGTACGTCAATTCGCCGAGAGTGGAATGCCCGCCCGAGCCGCTGAGAACAGGCCACGAGTGACGAGCTTCTCGGATGTTCCTCTCCATTCCTTCTTTCATTTGTTTCTCTCTTCCGCCGGGAAAATGATGCGAGATTATTATTGCTTGGTGCTGACTTTATTTATCCGTGAGATACACTCTTCCGAAATCATCATTCCGCTGACTTAGTTCACCAGGTGCTCGCTAAGTTGACTGACAGAGAAATACATTCCGCAGCTCCAGGGAGATCATTTCGAGTCCATGACATTCTGAAGTACTTGTCCGCACGCATCGAGGAGAATCTCACAAACGTTCCGGTCTTCCTGAGCAGGGAACGATCTGGCGGCCATTCCGAGTCCGCTGCGCTTTCCGAAGATACTCCCATTGAATGGAGGTTTCCGATAGTTGACATCTCCGCCCGCGCTGACGGCTCCGAGCAGGATCGCAAGAGCCAGGATAACAGCGAGTGCGCGAAGCATCTGCGAATGGTCTCAGGTTTTCAGAAGGATTGAGAAGCCCTAGTCCTAGTGGAAGACAGTACCCTCCGGAGGCTATCTAACAGAACAAGAAACTGCATCACCTGCCCACTAACCTTGTGTGAGACTGCGCGGGAGTGAAGTCCGAGTGGGTCTGAGCGACGAGGCGTTAGTCTTATATATGTCCTGTCCACCCTATTCCGCTGCGGAGGGCGCTTCGGTAGACGGGAACGGAAGCCCGCTCTGATAGGTTGCAGACCCCTTTTTAATACTATCCTGCAACATCTCTGGAGAAGCGACGACTTCGACCCCGATAGTGTAACAGGTCTAATTGACGTTGTACAAACGATCTCGGAGCGTTTGCAGGAGCATGCATCTGTCAAATTGACGTTTGCCGCTTACAATAATTCTGCAGCAGTCTAACGCTTCCGGTCCTTTCGGAGCCGTCCGAGCCTCGTCCACGACCGACAAGGCCATCCGAGGGAGGGGGAGGGGGTGGGGGTAGTGACAAAAGGGGCGACGGTGCCATCATCGTCCCCAAGAGGTTGTAATCGAATAATCAAGATGACTGTTTCTTCACGATCGACGTCAGCTTTTAATCAGCACCGCGTCCTCGGGGGTCGTCTCGACTGACCTCTCGGTGATTAACTTTTAGTCTCTTCTCTGGGTGTCAATCTTCGTATGCCGGCGCAATCACTTGAGACTGGCGAAACGACTGGCGATGGTCGCCTGAGAGAGCGTATCGTCCCGCCTACGATGAGCATGTGGTTTGCGAAATCGGCCTCGCAAGGTCGTGGAGAAAAACTGAGGAGGCCAGTGGCTCGAGTCTACCTGCCAGGAACTAACAGCTCATCGAAGCGAATGACAGAATGACTGACTGACGAGCTTCCAACCTGAACATTCGCGAGGACTATATCCAAATACGAGTCGGACCACGAGATGAGGAACTACTATCTTGAAGCTTGAAGGAACGGCTATCGATTGAGGAATTTCTCATTTCAGGCAGGGCATCTTCGGGCTCTCTTTCATAGATTTCATTTAAGTGATGAAGGGAGTACTCAAACGTACATTTCATAATATCGTTTCCGAATGAGCGGAGACCGACCGCCTCATCAACAATCACCTCTTATGCGTTTTCCCGTCGTCGTATGGTGTGGGATAACCTCCAGTCAGGATACCGCAATCGGATCCCTCCTTGTTCGAACGTCGGGAAGCGAAAATCCTGCTTCCGAAAAGCCGATCCCGCCCGAGACCTGTTTCACGGACATTCACGGATGAAGTCCGGTATTTATCTCTCCTCTTCCAGATAGACTCGTTCGGAGAATAGATTCATCGGCATGGGACATGGGAGCTCCATGGGCTCCCATGTGGGTGAGCTCTCTGTCAGGGGACTCAGAAGGCCTTATGAGGGGAGGGGCGCTTCTTCAAGAGGGAATGAATTGATTATCCAAGAGCCTCCACCAGGACCCGATTGGAAAGAGGACTCCGATGATGGCGTGGCGCAATTTGGAAGATGCAACAGAATCATCATCGAGCCTGAGATTCTTGCATGAGATTTCTGGCAGCTCCGCCTCCTGAGTCTCTGTCCCCCCCTCCCGCCCCTTTTCGATTCCTGAATCTTCCTAGATAAAGAGTCTCTACGAACGATGACTTTACATCCCGTAATCCGTGGAGACCATATATTTATGATCTCTTGCATTTACATTAGAAATCGGCTCGCTCCCGAAAGTATACTGCAGCAGCGCTCGCCCTCCTAATTTCCTTCCGAAGCTGCCACGAAGTTTTCGAACGATGACCACGACTCTCGTCACAGATTGTCTCTGAGGCCGGCTCCGAAACCTCAAGATCGTACATGGGTCCAAGCGTGATCCGTGACACTGACGCGACTCTGTCGAGCCTCATACCACCCTCATTACCGACGGGCTTCATTCATGCAGGTCAATTTGTAACCACATTTCAATGTTGTCCTCGTGACGGCTACATGCTCCGAACATCGATCGGCTCGTCTATGTATTTGCAACAGGGAATCCGTTTGTTTTCGAAACGAGCTTCCGCTTCACTCGCTCCCGCCGAGCTTTGCTCTCATAGCCCGTCATGCGACTATGACCACTTAGCAGAAACAGTCACCGCGTTATCTGGGTCCCATGTGAACCGAAAGTCCCACCTAATGCCATCGCTCGGAGAGGTACAACAATCACGCATCGAATCAAATGTGAGTTATTGGTGCCTGCTGAACGATCGAACTGGGAATTGTCGTGGTAGGGCAGAATTGCTACTGACTCTAGTTCTTGAGGCATGAGTTAAGCATCGATAATATTCCCGCACGCCAAGGGAGCTTTTCCGTCAAGGAATTTTCCTGTTACTGAATTCCCAACTCCCGACGAGCGGTGTAGGTCACTCTACGCGGCCAGCTCGGAAGATGTCGCCAGAGTGAAGCCGAGTGTATCCTACATTCCTCCTCATCTTCTTCTATTCCTTCTCTGAATCGGGACCCGGAAATATAGGCAGATCAACGTCTTGGGGGAGAATAGTACTCCATTTTGCCATTGAATACTTATTGAGTACATACGTCTCGCTCGTCGTCTGCTCTGAAAACTCCTTTTCAAAGAATTTGGTATGTGTAGGTCTGTCTTGAGCTTGTATTCGGTGAGCCATCATTGGCATCTTGCTTCGGAGTACACAAATGGGGCAATAGAACGATTTTTGAATAGGTTCAAAGTAGGTAATGATATTTATTGATCTCTCTGTGTTCAAATATGATCATGAGTTCATGAGACCCTGGGGCGTTTCGCCAGCAGCTCCTGTTCGTAGCCTTGAGCAACTTCCCGGCATGGTCCGCGGAACCTTCCGCGGCTTATCTTGAGCTCGACATCGAGATAGCCCACCCCGGCGACAGCTCCGACGGTCTGATGACCGGTTCTCACTTCTCGAAAGGAAGACGGGCAAGAAGCGTCATCGGAGCTCGCCTCCGAGGGCTCGACTTGAGGCTAAAAACATGGTTGCGAAACTCGATCCGATGATGGTGTTGAATTTTTCTGGCTATCAGGTATAAGTACGGTCTGAGTCCGAAAAGGGAGCTTATGAGCGGAATGCTCCGCCATGGCCTGAATTGATTTGCTGTTGTTGACTTGGATCACGTAAAATGATACGATACCGACTCGAGAAATGGGAAGCGAGCGTTACTCGAGAGGGGGAAAGACAGATTCATTGCGAGGGAATAGAATCATCGGAGCGACACTTCCTACGAGGACCCCGTTCCACAGGATATAAATGAAGCGGGGATCGATGCACCCATGTACGTACATCGATGGTGACTTGTCCCTCGAGGCCGCCAACAACCACGACCTTTGTATGGAACTCATATCGAACGGAGTAAGCCTTGCAGAACTCAAACCAGGTCAAAGTGTATGCCGGACTTCCCCAATATCAATATGAGCCAGCTCTACAAGTTTCGCAATAATTCCATTGCTTCGAAAATCGTGGTGTGTTGGCTTTCGAGTCGTTTTCATCGATCGCGAAGAAGTAGGGAGGGATTGTGGCGGACTCGGAATGCCGCCTTGGCGCCGCCACAATATGCGAACTCTCGCTATTGAGTCATTCAGCATTCCAAGTATCGCCCTCCACGACAGCTAGTCTCCGATAAGGGTGTAAACAGGGCGAAACAAGTCTCGGAACACGTTCGCTGATCCATCACGGTGCGTGCGCGCTCTAGGCGCCAAATCGTCGTGGTCGCAGATAAATGCCGCCTGAAAATGATCCGCTACGCTTCTGGACTCCGGATTTTGTATGGATACGTCAAGTCCCGACCGTCGAGGTCTTTCTCCCGTGATTCGATAATTCCGATGTGGAGGTCCGCGGGTGTTTCTCGTCTCCGCTGAGAGCGATCCTACTAACTCAATAGAGTTTATCATTACTCCGAGGAACATTGGAGTCGCTCTCACAATGCTCCCATTGTCCATCTTGCACTGCCCGGCCCCTCAAAACAGGCTGGATTACCTAGTTCACTAGCTCGGTGCCTCAGGTGAGTTCGCCTCCAACCACGGCCGTCATACTTTGCGAGACGTCGAGTTTTGCCCATTCTGCCAGTCCGGCGAGCAGCAAACTTTCTCGCTAGGAGAGGGACAAGCGTCGTTCCGCCCAACTCTTGTATCGATTTCTCAAAGTTCCTCGAGCGGTACCGGCAGTGCGTTATCCGAGCTTACTCTCGCGCGTATGTAAAACGAGTCAGCCCAATCGTCAGGTGAAAACTCTAGTCTTGGTGCTCGCTGAAAACACAGCTATCGACCGCTAGAATATCATATTCAGGCAGAATAAGTGCTAGGAACACAAGGGACTGTGACCTCGATCGGAACTGTTGACAAGCTCCCCGGAGGGAGTTTCGTCGAGTCTCAGCATCCAAAACGAGAATGGTCTTATGAGGGCGGTGTGCTCGAATTCGGAGTGCGTTCTGATTTCGGCGAAGCTCTTCTGAAGCGATTCCGTTCGGGATTCCGCGTGCGCAAGCCATCCTCAGTAGTTCCGGCCTTCAGGGTGAGTCGGTGATTCGAGAATCGAGAGATAACAGCCGTCGATGGGTAATCCGCGTCCCGCTAAGATCGGGAAAGAGTCTTGGAGATGTCAGGATTTTTTGTTTGGAACATCGTCCTCTTAAATCCGACAGAGAGTTCGCTAATCAACGTCTGTGCTGTCTGCGCTTGAGGAGGGCGTAGCATGATGGTATTCTTTTGGCTATCGACTTATCTAGGGACAAAAGGGTGCTGGAATCCAGATATCACTTGCTCCAGGTAGAATATTCGGAATGCTCTCACCGATGGCGCATGCGAGACTCCGCTGGCCGTTGGCGATGTATAATTCCTGCGGCGTCAGCATATTTGAGTGCGATCGAAGCAGAAGTTAAAGTTTACAGCTCATTCATTGCAGTGAATAATCATGGGGAGCTTCATCGGGCATTTCCTGCCGGGATTCACCTTCACCCTCGTTTGTGAGTCGTCGATTCAGCGCAGTTGCTAACTTCACGATTCCGATTATGTCCCCGACAAGAATTCTCAATCCCGGATAAATCGACATCCTCACTCCATACTCGATGGAATTCAGCAGAGAAGAGCTCCGTCTCTGGGGGGGAAAAATCAGGCGCCCATACTCCATGGGGGAAACTTTACTTTACATCCCCGATCCAGAACGTGGATTCTTGTTCCCCCAAGGGAGTTGGATCTAACCAGTCATCTATCGACACAGCACTCTGGTGGATGCTCGCGATATCAGCTCAACAAGCCATTAATCCGAGAGCTTTCCGAAATCGCGCAAGTCATCCGTGGCCTGGGCGCAGGTTGAGTCCGGAAACGTGGTTGAAGATCATCATCTCACCCATCGGAATCATAGGTTGGTCATCCTCGGTAATGGAAATGAAGCTCTGGTCCCAAAAATATCCCATGAAGTCGAATAGAATCGTATGGAGTCGTAACGTGTTCCTCTCCTTCCACTTGGAGAACAAGCTACTCTCCGCGTTCCCACTGATTCGAAATGCTTCTCGATATATTCACGCATTCACGCCCAATAAGTATTTCTGATCGCCTATTTTCGATAGAATTCAGCAGCAAATCTTCGATTTCTCTCTCTTCAGGAGAGGCGTACACGGCCTTCGAGGACGGTCGATTCTCCCATCTGGGTAACTTGCAGCACATGACCATGTACACTTTTTTCCTGATCAGTGGAATAATCGACTTGTGGAGCGCGCGGAAAAGGTAGATACAAAATTCGTAGTATGGAGACCTCCCTTGCCCGAGGAAATTCCTCGAAGCTGCGCGTGGCACTATTCCATGGCGATGCCTGTCCGAGGCACTTTAAGGAGGAGGATGCCGCACTGATATTCGGACTCGCCGCCAGTCAAGGTTGGGTTGGGCTTGTATTCAAGGCTCAGGTTAGCCCGCTGCGGTGATTCCGGAAGACAGTTCCGAGAACTCCGCGCATCCCTAGCAAGCCACGTCGACGCCAGCGTCGCTAACCGAGCGAATGCGGTCGAGGAACCTATCCGTGTAGCGTAGCGCCGAAGCTCATCCCGGATGTTTCGACCTCCCGCCCTCCTCGGGAATCGAGCTTGAAACCAAATCCGGGTGCTCTCCCCGGGGCGAAGCTGTCGCGGATACGCCATCGCGAGTCAGCTCACGAGAACCGATATTCGTGGTGGCCCAGTACCCGTCGCAGCGTATAATGGCCACGCCGATCAATAATTACTCAGACCTGGTCTCGCACGCGAATAATATAAGTGAAATCCGGAAACAATTATTCTTCATCCATCCAATCATTACAGCATTGGACGAAGATTGCCCCCCGGCAGTGATTTTGCGGCGATCATTGTCGCCGCTATGGTGGAGTGGCTGCTGTTCAGGTGAAGTGAAGATCGAATATGCTTGTCAAGATTTTCAGATGTTGTTCCTTGTGTCTAGGGCCTAGAGAGGTTGCGCATCGATGGGGCCTATCCATCGAGGTCGCTTGTCTCTAACAAGTTCGGAGTTGCGAATTCATTTTTCATTCTTGCAGGTTCCATCTACACGGCAGAGATCCTCTCGACGTGCTGGTTCACACTTTGCTGGGTTTCACAATCGTGGCCATCGTATTGATAGTCCTCGCCGAGTGCGTATTCCGTGAAAGCGTGCTCCTTGGATACATGAGGTATTTCATCCCGTGCCGCGGCAGGGAGCTGCCAGAAAACGACCGGAAGCGAAGGTTAGCATCGCCGTCGATAACCAAAAGGTTAATTCACTCCACAGAGCGATCGCTGTTTTGACGCACGGCCTCTGGTTCATATCTGTCGGCTACATTTTACACAATCCCTGGGGTCCACCGCCCTTCGATGCCAATGATCATGGATCTCACATGGTGGCCACATGTATCTTCACATGGCATGTCCTTGTTGCGACTCTCATCTGTGGCTTCATTGTCGTGGCTACCCACAAGAAATTCGGCACCGGATCGATCGAGGTAAAATATTGGAATATTGCTCGCCTCTTCCGTTCATTTCTCACGCATATATAACACTGCCGGATCGGATTCCGGTCGATCCGAGACGCGGTGGCAAGCTTGCCTCTATCCTCGGAGCTCGATGGCATCATGAAACGTCGGCATCGGTATCGTTGCTTGCAGACGGAGTACACTCGATGTCCTGAACGAGAGGAAGCCGCCCTCAAGGGATTTGAGAACGATGATTTTTGAAGATCGTTGAATGATTCTTGGCATTCGTTCTGATACTCGGCAACGACCAGGGATTCCGAACAGATTTCCGCGTCAGAGCGGGGCTGTGGTCGTCTCCTTGGCTGAACAGATGCTAAAAATGTGTCAACTTCGGGCCCGGCCAGAGGAACTTGGTTGCTCGCAGGACATTTCGGTGCGACGTTCTTGTCTCCACGAACAACTGAGAAGCTCGGGGATCTCTAAATTGAAACTCATGAGGATTCATGACGTGTAATTCTAATATGGACAATATTCCTCCGAGCTCGCATCTCCCGACGCTCCTAGAAGTCTTTTGAGTGCGGAGTGTGGCGATAATCCCCGATCCCTCAAAATTTCATCCTTGATTCTCTGTTCACGTCGTGATTCGTGTTCACTCTTCCTCTGAGTAAGCACATGGAACTCTCGAAGATTCGCAGTGAGGACTCTGTATGATGATGTGTAAATAAATCATGGTTGATCAAAGGAAGGTTTCGTCAGCCACCATCGGACTCTCTTTCCATCTAGACGACTGAATAGGGTTCTCTGTGCTTTCCCGATGCTCCTTTCGAGATCTCCATCGGAGAACGTCCCGAATATCGTTGAATGCAATTATTCTCGTCTGACGTGATAAGAGAAATAGCTACCGTCGAACGACTCCACGCGCTGATTGACGTTGTCATGAGAGATTACTTCGCAACGCCTCGAGATGAGCGGATCTAAAAGTCTCTCGCCGCTCATGAAACGTATCTGCAAATCGGTGATTCGCTGTTCTCTGTAACGCTTTGTACAGACTGTGCGAGCCTCCGCGGGTTCGCAATGGCTGTCTTGCAAGGAGCGGCACGCACTGCCCTGTTCACAGTTTTCATGGCTAGTCTATTTCTCACGTTCGCTTCCGGCGATAGGCGTACCGCAAGGGTTTGGTGGGACTCGACGAACGGACGGTTCGCGTTCGATAATGGTACGGAAATGAGCACCTCGATCCTCGCCACCGGCGTTTTCACCGACGACATCGAAACCACTGGGTAAGATGATCTCTAGTGCCTAACCGTTCTTTCTGAGCTCGACAGTTCTGACGTTCCTTGAGTGAGTCGACATACAGTCAACGGGCCACTCTGGGCGGAACTGGGAAACGATTCTCTGAATAAAAAGGGGATCGTTCCGAAACGGGGCACTTGAAATAATTATCATTGGAAACCTCAGAGGTCGCATAAGGCTCGCCATGGCTCCGAAGTTCGGCATACAATGCCGGTCATCAACACTTTTTTGCCTGATATGAGACCCTTAGCCTCTAAACAGGATGCGGACCAGTAGCTTTTTGCACATGATCCTAATCGATTTCAACGCGCAACGTACCTACCCGCGATTTCTTCCGTGCCCTACGCTGTTCGGATCCCGTTCGAAGTCCGCCCGGGATAGTCTCCGGCGAAGTCATCGATAGCTCTCTGCAACCATCCAGCAGATGTTTGAGCCCTCTGCCGAAGGTTCGATAGTTTGGGCATTACGTGAAATTTATCATGATTGATCTGGCCCCGCGTCCTCAAATCAATAGAGGGTAATTGGCTGATGATGTGTGGCTATTGATCGACGATGAATTCGAGCTCGACGATTCTTCGAGATCCTCTCTGCTCTACCGTCGGAGACGAAGTCACAAGCGAGAATGCTGTATTGCTGAGAGCCCGACGTATTGCCTTGCAACATTCACAATATAAGCATGCAGCACCCTCGAAATGGGGTCAGGCTCACGGACGAGCCAACCAGCTGACGCATTGGAGTACTCATCCAATCATTATTCATAATCTGGATTTGGGATACCAATACGGTCGGCGTTTTCTGGAGCTCCGGATTCAGGCGAACTTGATCTTTGGCGAGCTTAGATCAACCGCTGATGCCAGGTGAGGAGCTAACCCGAGACTCTCTCTGCGAAGGGACGGCGGATTCCCGTCTCGCTTGCCCAAGTGGCTTTGTGCCTCTGTGCTGAGCATCCGGCTGGACCACCACCAGTCGCTAGAAATGAACTACGAAATGTTGACTCCGCTGAGTGTTATGGTGACTCTGACTTTGATAGATCGCGTCGCCGGAGGTCAACACTCCGCCGAAGTTTGGTGGGATGCGATGAACGGACGGTTTGCTTTCGAGAACGGCACGGGCCCCGGTAAATCAATTCTCGCGACCGGCATTTTCACTGACGAAATCGCCTCTACCGGGTGAGTGATCGGCGACAGGCATGTACACAAAAGAGCACTCTCTATGCGCGTCGGAATCAGAACGCAGATATGACTATCCACCGGATTTAGTTAATCGTGAAGGCTGGAATCGTGATCTATCGTCTCTATCGAGGTCAGATGTAGATAAGGAAGTATGCAGCCCGGCGACCCGCTTCTATACCTCAGTATTAAGAACTCTCAATCTGGGAGGGGGCTATACGCCCCCCCCCCTCTGCGGACGCGCCCGATCCGCGCTCCCGATGAAGCTTCTGGCAATTCGCTCGAAATTGAGCTCCTCAAGTTATTTCGGTTCGATCCGACCAGCGGTCCAGACCGGGTAGGATATTTCCTCACGGAGCATGACCGCCTCCCCGACGACCTCTGGCTTACACTTCTGTTCGCAATCTGTTTTGTCTCGTAAGGAGCATCCATACAGGTCAGAGAGAACGAAGGGCGCTCCCGAGAATCACCGTGACTTGTCAATCGACGACAAGTTCACCAGCCTCACCATCCGGGGATGAAAGCTAATGCCCCCATTTACTCATTAGACAATCCTTCCTGTGGCCATGCCGGATTCATTTTTGAATCTTCGCTATTCCAGATGGGCTCATCTTGATATACGCACGAATTCTCTCAAGGGATTTTATTTCGATCAACATCAGGCGTACGCCGCTGGCCTACTGGAGGCTCGACTCACTCACGAGTTGATCGGGAAACAATATCGGTAAGCAAGAAAATACCGCCCACTCACTCGTCGCGGCTCCCCGCCGGTGTCGAGCAGGAGTTCTCTCCTTTCCATGCTTCATGGTTCTTCACGAGATTGACAGAGGCTAACAGAATAGAGTAGATTTGAGGTTGTATAAAAGAGAAACGCAGTGTACGTCCACCGAAACAGGAACATATATACCGATTACTGCAAGGGTCATGAGGCCTACTGCGCTGAGCTGAGAGCTTTTCTCGAGAAGAACCTCGAATACATGCTTCGTATGGTTGAGAAATACAGCTTCGTGGACCCATATTGGCATCACGTGAGTGAAGATACGCATTCCCTTCTCCCATTCACCCACCATACTTAAGCCCTCAATGCGCCATCAATACTTTTCGATAAAGAGTTTAAACATCGAGAACCTCCCCAGGTCGCACTGTCTTTGATTCAGCTGGCAGGAATTGAGGCAGGCATGAGAATGCAAGACCACTACGTCTACGTGGGCGATAACCTGACGCCAAACGTTTCCTCTGTAATGTACGTATCGCGAAGCCGATTTCAATGATTAGGGGCCTCGCGTCGAGCCGCTCGACTGAGCTCCAGAATGTCCTCCAGGTTCCTCAGTTTGCATGGAGACCTCGGAGATCTTGAGAACAAGCTAAGAAAAGAGAAGTTACACGCTCCTGGTGCACTGTCCAGTTGTTCGGGGCTTATCAAACTTCTCGAGGGAAACTCAGATATAGTGGCTGGTCATGCTACCTGGACCGGATACAACACAATGTTGAGGATTCAGAAGAAATTCGTGTTCGAATTCCACGAAACTTTCGATAGCGGTGAGTCGCAACTTCACAACCCGAACAAGTACTTGGATTATTGAGGAAAGTCACAACTCCGGATAACGGCTCACCCTACGTTTCTGTTCTTCGAATTATGCAGACGTGCTCGTTCCCGGGAATGGAGTCTCATTCTCATCTTATCCCGGGAGGATTATCTCGGGAGACGACTTCTATATCACATCGAGCAGGCTGGTGAATATAATAACTCGCATGATGGCTGGCAATCTGGCAACCAGGAATGATCAGGAGGATCCGCTCATAGCTCTCTGAGGGGGGCAAGGTCGGTGACCGAAGAGTTTGTGATCAGTGCCCTTCGTTCAGGTGGTCTCCGAAACAACGATAGAGAACAATAATCCTGATTTGTACGAGTTCACAAATCCACACACCGTTCCATCCTGGATCCGTAACACGGTGGCCAACCGATTGGCATCTTCAGGCAGGGAATGGGCCCAGTATTACGCTTATAATAACTCCGGCACGTAGGTTGAGCCGATTGATTTCCCTCTCGAATTCCACATATTTCCGCCTTATGAACGAGGGCTCATGCCTCATATGCTCCTGGCGGTGGAGCGCGAGATTTATTTCCCTGAACCACGACATCGAACGACTTTGTCTTCCAGCTACAACAATCAATGGATGATCATTGATTACAAGCTGTTCCAAAAGGGAAAACCGATCGAGGACGGTACATTCCACGTACTCGAACAAATGCCGTGAGTGTCTGAATCGGAGTGTGTGGGGCGCACGAAAACATCGCTGCATCCCCGCGTGATTCTCTAGCCCCGTAAGGTCTCTCGATTAACTGAAGATCTTGTACTGAGACATCCTTTTATTTCTTTTCATGTGGTGCAGTGGCCACGTTGTTCACCAGGATATGTCGTCATTCCTTCAAAAGTTCGGCTTCTGGCCGAGTTACAATGTTGCGTGAGTTAAAAACGTCTGGCGTATCCAAGTTGAGATGTATCTTCCGTCGAGTACTTCAAAGATCTCATTCCGTCAATGCAGATACTTCCCCAAAATCTTCAATGTCAGCGGTCAATGGAGCCTGGTTGAAAAGTATGGGGATTGGTACTCGTATGATAAAACTCCTCGAGCTCTCATATTCGAAAGGGACGCATCTAAGGTGACCGACCTAGAATCCCTCCGCAAACTATTAAGGTATGTATCATCGGACCCTTAAGCGGCTTGGAGACTGTATCATCTCTACGCCGGACGGCTAATTCGGGAATGGGAGTAGCTCATCATTTCATCATGCACGCTAATGCACAGGTACAACGACTTCAAAAATGATCCTCTGTCCCGCTGCAAGTGCAGCCCCCCATATTCGGCGGAAAATGCCATTTCGTCACGATGTGATCTCAACCCCGCGAACGGCACCTATCCATTCGCAGCCCTGGGCCATAGGGCTCACGGTGGAACTGATGTGAAGGTGAACCTCTGAGCTGATACCCACCTCAGCCAGGAGGAAAAATTTAATCTTGAGGAACTGGTCTCGGAGCCCGATCATATACCTCCTCTTCTAAGCTAGGTGCAATCTATCTATCTATCTATTAGAAATTCTTCCGAATCCTCAGGTGACGAATGCCAACATGGTGAAAACTTTCGACATGCTCATTCAGAGTGGGCCGACAAACGATCAGCAACCTACCTTCATTTGGAGTGAATCCGACTTCGATTCGACCCTACGACACGAAGGGCACCCAGACGTTTTCGACTTCGGCCCGATCATGACGAATTGGAGCTCGAAGCTCGATGACGATTTTGATGCTGTCCATTCACAGTCTGATTTGAGCGAACGCTCGAAATTGACCGATAAATGGTTTTAGGGTACATATAATGAGGAATACCTCGACGACTTATACGACTCATACTTATCAACTTTTCGCTATTCACGAGCAGTCGGAAATCCTTTAGCGGTACATCCTCCGGGAGAGTTCGAAGAGACGGGAATAGGACCATCCTCGTTCCAAGCGATGTCCGGGAAAGGAGTCGGATAGGGGCGGCATTCCCGGGGTCCGTATCGAGCTAGGCGACGCTGCTGGATGACCGCCAACCCCGTGCGCATAAATTGATTGGACAAGGATCTCAACCATATTCTCATATTGACAACCATTTCCTTCGAGAAGTCGATGTTGATAAAACTTATAAGTGTAGCGCTTCGGAGAAGCTCAGCCCGCTTCTCCATGTCGTACTTTTCAGCGGCGGAATCATCTATCCCCTTGAGCAAAAATCCGCAGAGATGAGAAATCAGATCACCCATGTGCGAACCACGGATCGCAAGCTCAGATCAATCCCTCGATTGAGTAAACGACGGAAAATAGGTAGAGTTCCAGGCAAGGGACAGCTTCGGCCGGGAGATGGAACTCTTGGATGTCACTGCGGAGTTCCGGACGCCTCGCCATTGAGGGCTCGCCCCTATCAAAGGCGTTTCTGGTGTACTCTTCACCCGAAACTTCGCCCCCTCATGGATCTCGCCCGTCCGCGCTCCCACGATCGTGGAGGAATGGAGAGCAAAGGATTCTCGATGAGTTCGAAAATCGGCCAATCATGATAAAATTCCTCATGCTCTCAGGCAAGGCAAGCAACCGAAGTACGACTCCGATCCCCTCCGCGAAATCTTGAGTAAGGCAATATGCTCCATGAGAGTTCATCAGCAGAAATGGAACGTCTGCTGGAAGAGCTCCTTCTATGACGACAGAGCCGTTTCGAAAATTAAGAGTCGCTTAAAGGTCTGATCATGCTCACTGATGCCCAGGGACAACGACTTCAGAAAGGATGCCCTGTCACGCCGTAATTTCGGTCCTCCATATCCGATAGAGAATGCCATTTCGTCACGATGCGATCTCGAGGCCGCCATCGGAGCCCATTCATTCTCAGCCCTCGACCACAGAGCTCACCGTGTGGACTCGCGCCCACGGAATCTCTACACGAGCTCTTGAATTTGGAGTCGGGCCCCTTACAATCAATATATCCCCCAGACCGAATGCAGCGGAGAGCATTTGCGAGCTATGTGCGCCGCTTCCGAGCTCCTCTCGATCTGATCGCGGACGAATGCCATGCCGGCGCTCCAGACCCCCTCGCTCGAAGCGCACCGCGAAGATATCAGGTTTGGAGCGAAGCTCGAAGATGGTTGTGGATATTTTTCCCTGACCATTTCAGGTTTGCAATCGCGATTGTCTACGAAAAAAATCGGCTAGGTCGATACACGCATCGGCGAGCGAGACGCCAGAGCTTCTATTTCCGAGATATCAGCTGTTTAATTCCCTAAAGCTTGCCAAACAGGAACATACATTGCGGAATTCGCATATCCGTAAAGCGTTCTCCCACGGAGCATTTCGCGAGAGAACGCGAGATAACTCCTCGTTCGACTCGCGAAGTCGAGTAAAAATTTTTCCATGTACGAGGAGCTCGATGATTGATACCTCCTCCTTCAGCTATTCGTAATCCTTAGCTTTCGAGAGCGATGTTCTCCGGTAATTGAGACGAGATCCGATCGAGGCCCGTGCTGGATCCTTGACAACGGAAAGATGGGGACGCTAATCTGAGAGCAAACCAAGCTAACGACGTAAATATTATTAATGAAATGTCATCTCAATGACAAATTCCTGTCGCTGATCGCTCAAAGGACATCGCCGGAATGAGACACAACGATATAATCCCCCGTGTTGTGGTGAGCCGGCTGCTTACGAAGCTATTGACTTTCGTTTGGCCCCACCTTAGCTCCCTGTCCACTCGGCGCCTTGTTGGCTTTCGGAGAGACATAGCGAGGAATCCGTCTCTCGAGTCATTCCACGCGTGAAAACCATCTCCTGGTAATGACCATTTTGACAGTCGCTAGCACAAGGCTCTCCGCTCGGTTTTTTCTCTCCTACTCCTGCTAGTATTCCCTCACTCAGCTTCGGCTCCGGTCCGCTTTGGTCGCTTGTTTTTTTCTTCTCAGCCTCTCTGGTCCCATCTTCATTTCTTGGCTGTCCGCCTGAACCCCTCTTGCTCACCTTCCTCCGTTTGTTCCCCGCCTTCAGAATGGGATTACCTTAACGACGGAGGGCAATCGCGTTGGCACCGCAACGCACCCTTGACGTCTTCCCGAGCAGATTGCTTCCTCCTCGGCCTCTCCACCAAGAGGCTCCCAGGGGAACGGGGAGGTCATTATTTCATCGATGGTTCAGGCGGATCAGGCAAGAATTACCTATACATCACAATCTATGATATCGGCATTGGAGAAACATGCCGAGTAGAGTTCCTGGCGTGGACCGGGATCGCTGCGGATCTCTTGCCTGGCGGCCGCACTGCGAGATTTCTCTTCAGTTCGTACGTTCCCGACAATGACCGCACATCTACCACGAGCGGTCAGAAGGGAGAAGCCTTGCTTGATCGCCCATCTTAATCTGAGACGAGATCTCTATGGCACCGGAAAGAGCTGTGGAAGCCGCCGACGACCTCCAGAGAGATGCGCTGCAGAGAGTTGCGCCTTCCGGTGGTCTGATGATCGTTGCTTGACGGGGCTTTCAGCCCCGGATATCACCGATGAAATCTATGGACTATTCGGAATGAAATCCTCGGGATGTTTCGGTCATCAGCGCTATGCCTCTCCGTGGAACGCCGTTATGTGCGGGGCGGAGGTCGAACGCCTCCGAGTCGAAAGCTCCGCTTTCCTCTTTAAGAACACCTTCGCCTCGAGGCAAGCACTAGCGGACTCCGTACTGAGATGCGGACGAATATATATCTGGGAGCGAAAATTGACGAATTGAGGACATGAAGGGTTCGTCTGCTGCCTCTGATTGCGGGGACTTCATTCATTCCTTGCGATCATCGTGTGCTGTCAGGGGTTTTCTGGATTTCGATTTCGCTTCAGCGCGGCATTCCACTGGCGAACATCCTTCATGGCCCGCAAGCTATTTTCGACGTCTCCGCTTTCTAACAAGCTAAGCATCGACGAGTGGATTGTAAACTCCTTCTTCTCTTTCTTGCGCATCTAGATAGAGGGATAGAATAATTGATGAATATTGAATTTTGGAATTCTACCGGTCCACCAACATTATTCATCGTTATACCGGTCAGTTCTACCTCCGAATCATGAATTGATAGAATATGAATAATGCCTGAACCTTTAAGCTTAAGTGATTAGAAATGCTCGCCCGCAGCTCGTCCTCCGAAGACTCTACTCGTCGGCGTTTAAAGAGAACACGCGACCTATTGCTCTCATGGTAATTTTCTTTCGGTCTTCAGGAGATCGCTTCTTCTTGTGACCGAACCCGCGATTGACCGATTCGACTTCATTGGACTCCATTGACACTCGAGAAAACTTATAAGTGTAGCGTTCCAGAGAAGCTCAGCCTGCTTCTCCATGGCGTACTATTATCGGCGGATTAATCCCCTCGAGTAAAAAGTCGCAGAGATGAGGAGTCAGATCACCCAGATGCGAACCGAAGATCGCAAGCTCATAGGAATCCCCCGATTGAGTACAAGACGGAAACTACGTGGAGCTTTAGGCATGGGACAGCTTCAACCAGGGGTGTGACTGACGGAGTTCCGGACGCCCCGCCATTGAGGGCTCGCCCCTATCAAACGCGTTTCTTGCGTTTCCTTCCCCGTAAGTTTTCCGCTCTCATGGATTCCGCCTGTCCGCGCTCTCATGATCGCGGGTGAATGGAGCACAACGGATCCTCGAGATGTACGATGATCGGCAAATGACCATAGAATTCCTCGTACTCCCTCCTGGGCAAGCCACTTATCCGGAGTATTGGACTCCAATCCCCTCCGCAAAATCTTGAGTAAGGCAATATGCTCCATGAGAGTTCATCAGCAGAAATGGAACGTCTGCTGGGAGAGCTCCTTCTATGACGACAGAGCCGTTTCGAAAATGAAGAGTCGCTCAATGGTCTGATCATGTGCTCACTAATGCTCAGGTACAACGACTTCAAAAACGATGCCTTGTCACGCCGTAATTGCGGCCCCCTATATCCGACAGAGAATGCCATCTCGTCACGATGCGATCTCGACCCTGCCGTCGGGGCCCATTCATTCTGAGCCCTCGACCACAGAGCTCACGATGTGGACTCGCGCCCGCGGAATTTCCACACGAGCTCTTGAATATGAACTTGAAATCGTGGCTTCTCACAATCAATATTTTCCCCGGACCGAATTCCGCGAGAAGTGCCTGCGAGCAACCTGCGCTGTTTCAAAGCTCCTCTCGATCTGATCGCTAACTATGCCATGCCGGACCTCCAGATCTCCTCATCCGAAGTGCACCAGGAAGAGATCAGGCTTGGAGCGAAGCTCGATGATTGCTGTAGATTTTGTTTCTGACCATTCCCGAGCTCTCGGCTGTTTCACTTCCCCTGGACTCGCCTCACAGAAATATTGCAGAACTCGCTTATCCGTGAGCGGCTTCCCGCAGGGACCATTTCCGGGAGAGGCCGCGAGATTGGAAGCTCATTCGGCTCGCGAGGAAAGTCGAGCAATAATTCTACCATGCACGGCGAGCTCAAAGATTGACACCTCCTCCTTCAGCTATTCTCGATCCCCAGCTTTCGACAGCGATGTTTCTCCGTTGATTGAGATGCGACCCGTTCGTAACCCGTGCTGGCTCCTGGACCACAGGAAGACGCGGACGCCGATCTGAGAGCAACCAAGCTCACGACGTAATTATTATTAATGAAAAATCATTCCTGTCGCAGATCGCTTAGTGGACATCCCCGAGATGAGAAACAAAGACATAGGCCCCCTCCCCCCTGTCGTCGTTACGGGGAGCCGGCTGTTTACTAAGCTATTGACTTTGGGTTGGCCAGACCGTCTCTTTGTCGCTCCCTGTCCACTTGGCTTCTCGTTGGCCTTCGG